AGCAGCAGCTGCGTCCGAACGCTGTAAGTGTGCGGCAGCAGACGTAGCGAACGCCGTCATTTCGTCAGTGCTCAACGGGAAAAAGGGATTCAGTGAGAAACACGTTGGTGCTTCATATTCGTCGACCCGACGGCACTCGGCCCGGTCCATCGGTGCGCCGAGAACAGCTTCATGGTCATTGAAATTGTCCCCATCTACCCGATGCTAGTGATTGTCTGTTTATCGTTTGTGAACGAACCACCACAGCCGTTCAGCCTCTATCCGTTCGCTTACTATAGGCGACGCCTGCAGTCGGACTGCAAACAGCCAGGCGGAGTGGTATACCTATGACAGCCTCAGAGTCTGTGGCCATTCCAGCAGACCGCAATAGAGAGGTAAGAGAAAGACCTAGTGTGGAATAAAAAGAAGGGGAGCAGTTCACCGCTGGCCGGTGACCACTGTCGTCCAGCAGCGGCTGAAGGTAACCGTACCAATTAGCTGGCATAATGGGAGAAGGGCGGAAAGCCGCAACAAATCAGCTCGTCAGAATAGAGTAAAGCTTCACAGCGTTTCGTCAGCTTTGGATCGTTCGTGGGACGACACAATGCTGCCTGCCCCTTTTCTGTCGCTGTTTAGAACGCTTATTGACTGTTATCCCTTTGATTGAAGGTGTATAACGGTAGACGCAATCTTTTGCCGCAGTCAATAATTGGCCGAGCAGTTAATGGATAGAAGACAAAGATCTCGCGGTCAAACCTCGATAATGCAAGGAATAGAATTAAACAATTCATTATTTCCTTATGCATTCATTTTCTTCAATCAGCGTACACACATTTGAGAGAAGTTTAACCCATTTCATGTTACAATAGTGTTGTAAGATTGGATACTGTAAATACTACTATTCGCATACAGAAACTTACCTGCTAAGCCAGTTCGCGCCGATATTTGTAGCGGCTCCGGCTTGTTTTAGCCGTACATAGTCTGTTTTTTGCTAATGCCTCATCCTGATGTCAAATTGGTTTTTACTTCAGCCCGTCCAAACTCCGTCAACGACAGAAACATTCAGTGGATTAATATTGCCCTGGCTATGGAAAAAGCCAACAGCGAAATTCTTGTTGGGTTCCGTTGCCTCGATTGTCATGAGGTCAGGCGAGTACAAGGATACTGTTCAATCGTCAATCTTTATCGATCTAGCGATACCATTTACACATGTGTAGTGTCGCTGCACATTATGTCAATGAACTTGCTAGGGTAACTGACAACTTCTTTTCCTGGCGAGACTGTTTGACAAGCTGTTGATGAGGCGTGATATCTTTTTTCAGAACATTGCAATAGTGCATTGATATCCCGATGTGTTTTTATTGCGAGGGCGTATTGAACGTGATTATTAATATGTATCAAGCCAATGAACCTTGAAGATCAGCCACGACGATTGATTGGGAGTAGTTTTTCGTACGTCGGTTAACCCTTTGCGCTTGTGCACGATTGATAGCGTATGTATGCGTATATATATCGTATTCTGCTAAGATGCTACTACGGCATTGTAGTCAGCGTCAATTGACCCAAACCCAACAATCGATGGGCGACCCATAGCTACTTCCTGTCAATGATGGACAAGTTAATGCCGATGGAATGTCGCCGTCGTTCCAAAAATTACGAAAGCGTGCTATTCTCGTTGATACTGAAGTGTTAATATATCAAGTCGATTCCATTCTAAGTGTGTTTCATTCATCAGACGTTTATACAGCTCTTTTCGCTTATACATATTTAATCGGATTTATGCCACATCGATGTGGATTGTGTGATATCAAGTTTGAAGAAAAAAAGTTTCAAACTGAATGCTATATTAATTTCTAAAGCTACTTTATTTCTGACATATTCAGATAACGTAAAGTGTTATTGTTGTTCTATGTAATCTCACTTATCATGTAGTATTTGTCGCTCCAAAAGCTTGAAGCATCGACTCCCCGTAATTTTCATCTCATTCAAATTATCGCGCCGACAATTAACGCTGTTTTAGCTGTAATATGACTGTCATTATAAATCATAAACGTTGAGCTAGCCCTGAAGTCTCCTTAACGCATAGTTCATGCTGTATTTATAACAACTGAACAAAATCGAGGCAAAATAATACGATAACACTGTTGATTTGCTACATACAAGTACATAATAGCCCTCCATACAGAACCCATTGGGCGAGCAACAAGGTAAGAAACCCATCATGTCCACTTTCAGACAAAAGACTTGGCGGGCCTCTTCATGAGTATGCCAGACAAAACAGACTGCGCGCTTTCAACACCAAATGTAACCTTTACTGAAAAGAGTGGAGTATTTGATGTGTCACTGTCTTTATGTGTCACAACCTGTTGCTTCACTTTATATATATAAGGAAGTCGATGTTTATAGCCAATGCAATATCATTGCAATGGCCAGTTCATCGCGTTGAGGAAGATGCGTTGGGGTTTCTCGGAGACCAGGATTACGGCAATAACCACTTCCCACTATCACAGATCGTCGTATATATTTATCTATATATGCGTACGCGTGCGCGTTTTTGTACCTGTCTCCCGGCCTTCTTATCAAGCCGACATTGAGGGCAGGCGGATATTGAGCGGGTCGCTGTCGTTTCGACACTGACATAAGACATGTACAGGACAGCCTGCATTTTTGGACAACGTCAAAGCGACGTTTTCTGCAGAATTCTTTAAAGTTTTGTCCTTAATGTCCGTAGTGGACCGGCTGCACCACAGCCAAGATATCGCGGTTCATCGAAAACGCTGCACTGATATCAGCACTCTGTTGAGCCCGAATTATAAAAAAATTTCTGGTGCGGATACCGGACAACAATAGAGAAAAATGCTACTTAGGAAATTGGAAAATTTCCTACTGGATCGTATTGTGAACAGATCTTAGTCCTTACTTTAAGACTAAGTCCATTGAACCCTATCTCGAGCGTAAATTTACTCTAAGTCGGTTTATATTATTGTAGTATGCAGTAGTTTCTCCAAGAGTTTTCAAAGGAAGTTGCTAGCAATGTTAATCATGCTGATTTTCAAATATTTATGGACGTTTCCAAAATAAAAAAAAAAGGCTAAACCATTTAGATTCATCTTTTGATACTGCCAGCATTGACGATTATCGACAACGAATCCCTGCAGATGGCTTCAGCCGTACAACTAGTCTAATGGTCTCCTTTTTCCGCAGAACTTGTTTTCAAGTGCTCGGGGCACAAGGCGACTATTCCTTGAATGTGTTGGCTTTACGTTCAAACGATACTCACGTATGAAACTGATCTAGCTATTTACCGCGTCATTAAAATTTGTGCGTTCCATTTCGGCGGATTTAATGACTACACATAATACCAACAAAGCAGTTATCATAGCCGAAAATCGATCATTTCCAACTGGTAGCTCTAAAGTCAAAATGAAAAAGAAAAAAAATGGGTGCAATATATATGCGAGTTCTGCAAAACGCTGTACCTTAAATGGTCTATGTGTTTTTCTAAAACTTTCTCCTTTTAATCATTCCTGCTTTGGCAGGGACTAAAACCTTTATGAGTCGATATAGTTTTTCGAAATAGACTTGTACTATTGCAGAGATTACTACAGATTTCTAAAAAAAAACCACATGTTTGAGGTCTAGTTCGTATTTGAAAGTTAATTGAAATTTAATAGTGTACTCTCCAAAAGAGATCTTAATGCTAGTGCCAGTGTCACATACCTTTGTTACCTGCTGCTAAATTTGGCGCGTACTAATCCATTCTGCATAATTATACCAATTATCTTTAACCGGATGGGCTGACTCGACAAAAATTGATATTTTTTCTCTCGCGTTTTTAGTTGCGAGGATATGCCGCTTTGCGGATCCGCATCAATAACTTCGCTGGACCTAATAACTGAAACCAAATACAGTCTCTCGGCTATATAAGCCATCACTTCTTTTATCGTAGTATCGCTGCAAAGTATACGAAATTCTAACTATATCTGTATAAAAGCTTCTTCATCTAAGACATAGCCAAACAAAAACTATCCTCCTTTCTTACGTCAGCTTCAATAATAACATTTTCCCGTAAAATGTGTATATGGCCATTTGGTTTAAAATATATTTATTTATATTGCAAATACATAGGAGTATATTTATAATCTATTTTTAGTGAAGTTTTGCTTACAAAATTTTAGAGTTGTCTGCCATTTTTACGAGTGCAAGGTATTGAAGGAAACCTAATTCTTCCTATAATTGATGTTAAAACATTAACATGATAATATCATATTCGCTGTAATAAGGAATATTTTAGTAAAATTCCTAATAGTGCAAGTTATGCAACTTTCGTTTAAGAACTTATTTAGATCAGGTAATAAGTCACCTTTGTGACAACCATGAAAACAGAATTTAGTCTTCTAACCATATTTTGAAAACTACGGGACTATAAGAGCCTTCACAAAAAAAGATAGCAACCCTGTTACAAGCTGCTCGCAGGCCAAAAAAATAGCCCAAGAAATCTTTCAACAATAAACTGACAGATGCACAGAATGTTTCAAGCGGGCCCTTAACTGCATGAAAAAACTAGAGATGTCTGCTATTTTGTACATTTTCAAGCAATGTTTGAAATGATCACTAAATTTCTATAAAATAATCACCAACGCTAAAAAATAGTATGAAACACCCACGCTAAACACTCAGACCTTGAAATCAGCTTCTCTAATTTTATTATTTATTGGCCAGACCGCTACCGATTGTACGGGAACCCGCAAATGATTGTTCACCGCCAGTTCAAAGCACAAGATGAGTCTTTTGCACAAGATGAAGTACATTTCCATGCTATCAATCGGGCGCTCTACATATGGAATCGTTGCAAGATAATTACGCTTATCCGAGCCTAACATCATCTTAATTTAATTTAATCTCAACATATCATGCGCTGTAATATCAGAAAAACAACGCAGGTCATTATTACATCACTACTATAGTAGATTTGTCTTTCGACGATTTTTCTATGTTAACGCAAAAACAACAATATACGTTTAATTACATAAAAATATACAAGCTATTTACTCTTTTATTTATGCATTGGTTTTTTACAGTACTTTTTATAAAAAAACATACATCATGCCTATAGAAAGGAGCCTATGCATAGCAAAGTACGCATAGAGCTTATATAATATCGTTAATATTTCATATATATATATAAACACAATTCTTTAGAGTTCCACAGTTTTCTATCATTACATTATGGTGTTTAGGTAAGCGTAGTGATTGAATTTTTCATGTTTGCACGCGCAATTTTTATCTAACGTTCATGCAAACAAATAGAAAAGAATAATAAGAGGTAACAAAGGTGACTAATTCGTAGTCCAGGCAGTAAATTAGGCCAGATCGTATCAAGACCGGATTAGCGTTTTGGCAAACTCACTTTTTATCATATCCTAAGTTCCTGTCCATGTAGACGTTATGATAGTGGTAGAATGAGCTCATCATCCTTGATGAAACTGTTTTCTTACTCTTCTGAATCATTATGGGGGGCGGGGGTCGAGCAAATACTATTTGAGCAGGGCCTCTCTATAAAAAAAAATAAACGAACAACAGCCCTGCGCCACGCTAGAGGGCTGTTGTTCGTTCACTTTTAATTTTTTTCATTATTATATTACAATAAATAAGAAAATTCTATTGAGTGCATGCTTAACATGCGACAAAAGTACATGCTGTCGAGCATTTCTTTGCACACAGGTTAGCGGTAAGTTTCTTTTGCTATAACTGTTGCATTATCCTAAATTAGTTCCGTTCGATTTTTTCGCCGTTTAAATATTTTCATCCTATTGCTTCTATAACTATTTTTAGACCAATCCTGCATCCTTAGCCATAGCGTAGAAAAGTGAGTCCTGTTTTTTCAGAAGCACCTGAGGATTCTCATACTCCACCACCAGACCGTCGGACATCACCATAACCCTGTAAATATAATTATGGAGGATATTTAATAAGATATCTTTATATCGTCAGCTCGTCCATAATAGCGCCATCGTTGGCTTACGTTCAGTTGTAAGCTTTTTTGTTAAATAAGTTGTCTCTTTTGCAATAAAATCGATTAAGATGCGACTGCATTCGAAACATTTGCCCTACTCATACAGAGTCAACAAGGGCACGCACAACTAAGAGCGAGCCGTTGACGACTTTTTTCGAAACGTAGTGAGCGCGTACATCGCACCCTTGAGGTGTTTACCTTTAAAGTGTTCTATACGAAAAAGGTGCGAAAAACGCTTGCACACGTACTTATTGTGATCAATGATGGTGTTCAATCTATGCGCAATGGTAAGCGTTGTCGAATCGCTGAATTCCTGTTTGAGTGTCTTTTGAATCAAGTCGTCGGTTTCCACATCGACGGCGGCGGTCGCCTCGTCTAGAATGAGAATCTTCGTCTTCCTCAACAAAGCCCTGGCAAGACACACGAGTTGTCGTTGGCCAACGCTCATGTTTTCTCCGCCTTCGGTCACCTCAAACAGCAAACTCTTGTCTAGTTCGGTAATAAACGATTTAAGATGCGCCTGCTCCAGGACTGCCCAAATGGACTCGTCAGTATGTTCTTCAAATGGGTCGAGGTTTTCCCTAAGGGTACCCGAGAAGAGCACAGGATCCTGCGGAATGATTGTTAACTTTGATCGGAGGTCATGTAGCCCAATGCGCGAGATGTTTATTCCATCGATCACGATGTAACCGCTTGCCGCCTCGATCAAACGGAATAACGACAACGTCAATGATGACTTTCCTGCACCGGTACGGCCCACGACGCCAACCTGTGAAAACCCCCCGAAAGGTGCGTTCATGTATTACATTTGATGTGATCGAAACATAATATAGTTATCATTTTCTTAAATGATAAATTTTGTCAATTTTTTTCGGATCCATACGTTTTAATCGATGACAAAAGCATCGTCTACTATTTTACGTCGTTCTTTCGTTTGTTTTATCATCTACTACCGCTTGTGCTTTTTTTGTATTTGTAATACTTTTCCTAACATTTTTGGTTAAATTAAATAATTTTGACACTTACGTCAAATAAAATGCCCCAATCTGTGATAGTCATACATGGTCTAACCTGCTTTTGCAGGCTGAGGTCTGTATTTGTACTGGATTACATTTTGAAGCCTGTTTACTATGTATATTTTTTATAACATGACAATACTCAAAGTTTCAACAAATTTTAGATTTGCGCATACAAATATTTACGTGGTACTTGCTACGAAAAAGGAGAATCGCTGCAGCGTTTCGTTTCCTACCTTTTCTCCCGGGTTCATCTGTACATTGATGTCCTTTACGACAAGAGGTAACCCATCACGGTAGCGTGTTGAATAATCGTGGAACTGGATAGCACCCTCTTGTGGCCAATTGAATTCAGGCCGATTCGATTCCACCACCCAATCAGCCTCGACTTCAATGTCTGCATATTCGAGACAGCGTTCGATTGAAACGAAATTGGTCTCCACGTCTGAAGTCGACTTTACAAGCATATTTAACGTTCCGGTAATCTGAAAAAGAGATTTTGATGAAAACATAAATCGCAATTAGCCTTATAGCACTGCAATAAACTAGTGATGAAGAAAAACGACTGTGAGGATTTTATAAATATCTGTTTGTGAGCACGTGGCAACATTTCAATTCACAGCTGTTGCTAAATAAGTTTTCTATGTTTTAGAAGTAAATGCTATATATTAGTAATTATATCAGAATGAAAATTCCAGTGGAAGTATTCTCAAAAAGTCTTCCGTCATCCCTAAGTTCTCATAATTTGCAGTTATGTCATATCGTATACATTCTCTTAATCAGTATAGTCATAATAAATAGTCTTTATTAATGACAGCACGTAATCAATAGATCCAACTACTTTTTTGGAGTTCTCACCGTAAGCGCGTAACTGATCGAGAGACCCGCCAGGCCTGGTGTAAGCACGTCCCTGGCCAAAGCTGCGAGAAGAGATGCAAGGAACACGATTACGTAACCAAGGAACTCAAGCCTTACGGACAGCCATCGGGATGCAGCTAAAGATGGATAGTAGGCCGAATGATTTATATCCGTCTTTAAGTTCGATAGTGCGATGAAACGTCCTTCGGCACCGTACGCCCGAATAGACGTACAGCCGGTCAAAGTCTCGGAGAAATGCATGTAAATAGGCGAACGAGAAGTTGAGTCGATCCGTTTCAGTTGACGTGAGGTTGAAATGTAGTATTTCTGTAACATAGGATGCAATAAGGTTTTATGGCAGATGTACAATCATCCACGTAAGTTTGGCCGATATTTGGTCATTCGTCCAGATTGTTCTGGGTTGCATTGATTCTAACTACAAAAGTACATACCTGGACGTAGTAGTAAATTATCCCGAGAGGCAACACAAGTACTAAGAAGACTGGAGTTTGCATTGAAATTAGAGTTAGTGATGCGATTGTCCTAAAGGATTGTTGGATGGCCATTCGCAGATTGAAACGCATGGTTATGTCTGCCGCATCAATATCCTTTGAAAACCTGAAACACAAACGATTCTATACCTTTTGAAAGTGAATTAAATGAAAGGAGTGCAAAGCTTGCCACAGCACTCAATGTGTATACTGAATTCGCCGAAAAGTTGCTACAGCGAAATAGCCGTCTTTGGTGAGAAAAAGGACCCAGAAAACTTTCTTAGCTGCTTGTTAAATTGTATGTGAAGAGATTAAACTTAAACTGTAACGTAAAATATAGTCAATTTACCTTACACGTATAATTTATTTTGATTGAAAGTTGAAAAATATCAATATCGTGGGTGGTATCAAACGTGGTCCATAAGAGTAGTAGATGAAACACACAACGTATACAGTCTAGGTAATCTTAAAAAAATGATTTAAAAAAAAAGGTCACATCTCAAGCTTATTCAAATCACTTGTCTGTGTGTATTCCATTTATCGAATTAAAATTGGTTTTACCGCTTATGAATCGCACTAAAAACTCTGGCAATATGATGTGAATAATATGGAAGATAATATGATGCGGAGGATAAGACCCACAAGGTGAATAGTAAATCTGGCTTCATTTGGCGGAAAGGGTGCCATGGAGGCCTCATCAATCGCTGTAGCGATGTATGTAGCCGGTGATAATGCTGCTTAGATGTAAATACTTTGAGAGTCGTCTTTAAACCCATCTAAAAATCCAAGGATAACGGTACCCGAAATAAGATATCTAAGACCTTCGAATTTTCGGGGCGTAACATACCTTCCAAAATTACTTTTTTCTTCTGACATATGAAACTTTTCGAGATCTACGATAACAGTCTAAAGACGGTCTTCGAGATACATTCTTCATCATATGTCTCTCTGTTACTCTCCGCTCAGAGTAGGATTTCAAACAAACACTTACCTGTTGAGAACTCGCCCCATTGGTGTGGTGTCAAAAAATGACATGGGAGCTCGAAGAACGCGCTGAACCATCCTCTCATGAAGAACCCGTCCACCTTCTAAAGCGATCAGGTTCAACGAGATAGATGCAATTAAAGCAAACATCGTTTCTCCCGCACCCCACATCGCGTATAAACCAAGTCGGTAGTCTCGTTGAGCGATACTGTTGGCCAGCTCGGGATCGATTGCGTCCTCACTCCATTTCGAAAGCCAGATTGACGTAAGGATATTGAATACATTGCCCATTATGAAAGCAATCAACGTAACCATAGATCCCACGAGGCCCATAGCCACGATGTAGTCGCGGTACACTTTCCAGTTGACAGAACCCACTTGAGCTTCCTCATCCTTGGTAAGTGCTGCTCCGGGCCGATTCTTGGACTCTTCTGCGCCGCCAGCAAGATTTTGTTTAGAGTCACGTGGTTTGATTGATTTGATGCTCGATGCAGTCGAGACCGTTCTAGTTGTGGAGGTCTTCCGTCGAAGGGACCCCAGCTCTGACCCGCCATCACTTTCGCCCCCGCTTACAATCGAGATTTGCCTGGATAATAGCAGGAGAGTAAAGCAACGAATTTTGGATGGTACTCTAGATAAATCTGTAAAATAAAGTAGCTATTTAAAATAACAATCAGTACATAACGCGTTTATGGGCCATTTACAAATTTCGTAAGACTCACTTGACGAGCTGTGGCGGGGCTGCGCCCCCCTTGACGATCTCTTCCATGGCTTTCAGATCTTCTTCGGGGATTTCCTCGTCGGGCGCCTTATCTTGAAAATGCTGCATCAAAAAATCGGAGAAAGCTCCCTTGCGCGCAACAAGTTCTTTGTAGGTTCCCCATTCGGATATTCTGCCGTCCTTAAGTACGTATACTACGTCGCATGAATTCAACACGGATAGCCGATGTGTCACTAGGATGCGTGTCTAATGATGTTAATCAAAAGAAAACATACTCACAAAAATGTGATACAAGAATGATTAAAGAAATAGGAAGCATGCATGAACCAAATCTCTAACGGACAGTATATGATTAAGAAAAATCACATTATACAATTTTTCATATCTAGCGCACTTTCTTTGAAAAAATTCAAGTCTAGCCTTTAGAGAAGTCACCTTGCCGGCCAGTATGCCTGTATTGCTGATGACTTTGTCGAAAATATGTTTGCTGACTTGGCTGTCTACAGCAGCTAGCGGATCGTCGAAATAATAAATATCTCTCTGTGCGTATACAGCGCGCGCCAACGAAATTCTCTGTTTTTGGCCACCGCTAAGGTTGATACCCTTCTCGCCGACTTCAGTCTCGTCTCCTCCAGGCAGCATCTCGAGATCGGGACGTAGGGCACACGTATCAAGGACCTGCTCATAGCGGGCACGGTCGAATTTATTTCCAAATAGAATGTTGTTTTTAATCGAAGTACCTTGGATCCAAGCCTGTTGCGGTACGTACGCGACCGAGCCCTGCAAACGAGACACACAATGATGAAAAGTCTGCAGAGACCAGTTAAATTCAAGATGAAAAGAAATATATTATATACGTATGTAAACGTATACGATCCGGCGCCATGATGCACGAAGGATATCAGATCTGCTTTGCTTTTGCGGACTGCTGGATAAATTTTCATGTTTACGGCTAATCCGGCTAGTCAAGTGAACTTATATATATTACACCCGCGAAAGCATATTGTTTTGTCAATTGCGTACCTGAATAGTATAATTTAATATAAGCAAAAAAATAGGGCCATACCGACACGGTGACGTTTCCTGATTTCTTGACCACCTCACCCATGAGTGCGCCAAGCAGCGTGGTTTTACCTGTTCCCACAGTTCCTACGATAGCTATTAGCTGACCATGCTTAATCTCCATATTGATGTCCTGAAGGGTAGGAGTTTCCGCGTCAGCTGCGTACTGGAACGTACCATTCCTGATGCTGATCGCGCTAGCTGGAATAGATGTAAAGCAAGTATGACACACATAAACGTGAAACAAAAGTTGAATCATTGACGCCATTAGCGCTACTGGATTATATTATTTAGTTGTAAACTACTCACTTGATCTCTGTGTGCCAGTGCGACTTAACTATAGAGAAATAACTTGACAGGTCACTATGCGCTGGTTAAACATTAACGGATTGGCTTCAACCATGTAGCAAGATATTACCGTATAGCAAATACTGTTACCAATTTTAAACAGCAAATGCTAAGAGGATACAAAATCTAGATGTAAGTTTTTTTTGTACTATATCATAATAGATCAATTAAAAGCAGTAATAAGCATACCCGCTCCTTTAATCCTCTGCACTGCGTCCTTATCGAGTTCATCAGATCGAAGATATTTATTAACTCGGTTGAGGGATACAAAGAACATGGCTGTGAACGAAACGAGCATCGGCAGGAAGGCCATCGGCAGCTTCAAGATGTTAAAGAGCGATAGTGAAACAAAAGCTTTGTTCGCATCGAGAACATTGGCAGGATCCGAAAGGACATGGGTGGCAAACGAAGCCAGCGATACGAGGAATGGAGCGCTTGTGAAGGCGAACACCATGAAGCCGCTCAACCACGCTTGCTTCCGAAGTGACTCTAATTCTTTATTACGTAGATTGTCGATACGTCTCATAAAGGACGTCTCCCAAGCATAGAGTTTAAGCACCTTAATACCGGATAGAATCTCGTTCATGAGCTTTGTACGCTTATCCTTGTTACGCATTAAGGAGACCTTAAAGCAACACCAAATGCAAGTTTGAGACGATACATCGTAACTGTATGGATCACACGAAATAATTTCAAGGATCGTAAGAAAAATGTACGTTATTTATGCGGTATTAATGCTAACTGACTGCATATTATTACTGTTATTTTTAGTATTACTATAAACCTCTAGCAGCTGCTTCTATAAGTCATATAACTGCACTTAAGTCTTCCTGTCTTAAGTGCAATTATATGACATTAGAATAAATTGCAAAAAAAAGTAAGGTGATTGCGTTACAACAGTAATGCACGAGTATCTAAGTAAATATTTTCAAGATTTAAATCAGCATGTATAGTTTATATACGCCATACAGTGTTTCTGTGAGACCTACGGAGAGATATATATTCCTCCGAGATTTCACAGCTCGCCAAGTATATGTCCTAACACCTCTGAACGTATTAATATACTTAAGGAGTGTAGTGTCTAAGATTTTTTATATTTACTATTTACCATATTACACATAATATGATTTCATAGACATGAGTTAATTACGTATTTGAACGATAAATAGCATTTTAAGATCAATTTCCAGAGACGCAACATGCACAATCGACGTGTCCATCTGTCTCAGAAACTCAGACGCAACTATAAGCGTTAAGTGCTAAATTTCGAGTATTCTCACCTGATATTTCCGGAGCAAAATTGTGACCACGGCGTTGACTGGCATAAGAAGGATCATGACGAAGACTCCACCAAGTGTAGCGATCCCTAGCTGTTGCCAAAGCATCCAAATCGAAATACCAATCTGAAGGGGTATTGACCATAACATGTTCATCATGTTCACTTGGTCCATGATCCTACGGTAAAAAAAGGAAAACGAAAGGAAATGTGTTCATTTATGGTATACAAGAAATGCAAGTAGCACTTACAAATGGTGCATGACCATAATCATAATAATAATTAACGGTGTATCCGGCTGAATTCTGTATTTCTTGCTGACTAAGTCAAATAGCCTATTTAAAACTTCAACTTTTAATCTACCTTTGCGTGTCGACGGACATCAAGTTAACAATCTCTCCTGTTGTATACTGGCCTCTTGCATATCCGCTCAGAGTGAGGGCCTTCACGTAGATTGCATGAATAATCGCAGAGCGTACCTGCATGCTGATACGGTAAAGGCGGTACTCGTACTGGTTGTTTAAAAGCGACTCAGCCATTAACGAGGAAAGCATTACTGTAGCAAGGAACACGCCTTTCCACGCAGGCTCTACGGAAACAAATGAGGAAAAACGCATAAGGTTTAACCGCAGCCAGAGGAAGATGAGAGCATAGCGAAACAATATTGCATTATATCTGCCATTATACTATACACATACGAAGGCGGATATAACTGACAAAAAAAGCAATAATATACATTTTCTTACCATCCGTTTGAACGAATGTGATCAGCGAGTTAAGAATCACTGGAGCAACAAAGGTGATTAATGATACGACGAGTTTGATGACGGCCGTTCCAAGAAGAGGTAGGCCGAAAGTTTTCAGTAACGGATAAAGGATGTTAAGCTGACTTTTGAGCACTGGTGTTCCATCCTCCCTGCCCTGTTTCGAAGATCCATCAGCTTTGTTTTTTTTTTTTTCTGAGTTGTAATACGGTAGAAACTTTCTAACTATGGTTTCGGTTGTATTATCTTCGTCCAATGCCCACACATCTTCCAGATAAAGTCCCGATTTTTTTGATGCTCTTTCGTATCCAAGAGCTATCATTCTAGATCAACAAAACAAATAAAGTTTGTTATACTTGTCACATAACATTCGAATGATTTTAGCCTCAGTTTCATATCATTGCCGAAATTAAAGCCACATTAGGCCGTTATATATATTGTATTAGTAGGTGTAATATAACGAATAATTACAGTATAAAAGCCACAAGCTGATTTTTCATGCTCTGTTAACGTCCAAAGTACGACACTACTTCTCATAGGAGTAGATAGCTATTGTTGTCACTGCACTAAAAAAAACACGTACCGGTTAAACCACCAGAAAACAAGGCTCGAAAGAAAAGAGGCATCTTTTTCAGGACATTGATTCCGTCTATGCTTATCGATTAAATGCGACAGCCGTCGATCGGCGAAACAACTCAAAGTTAACTGGACAGATGACAGGCCAAATGCAATAACTGCCAATGTGAAACGTAGCTTATCCGTTGTAGCCAGCTGAAAATATGACGTATATGTAAAGGTCTTATTAGTACGATGATATCTACAATGAAATACGTACAAACGATTACTATTGTAGTTTCACTTCGAACAACAAAGCATGGCGTATATATAGTTGCTAAAAAGCCAGAGCTCGGCATAAATATTAGAATATGAACACAACTATATACAGCGCAATAGCTGAAATCGACAATCGAACCTGTTCTACCCGATTCTAAATAAGCTCTTCGTCAAGCTTGAACGGCCTAGTCCGCGTGGCCAATGCGCATCTCTTTAAGCATTTTGCCATATATAACCATAAATAACGAGCATGCTGCCACGGTGGTAAATTTCAGCGTTAGCAACACACATTAAAACATCAACAATTAGAAAAATATGGAGCAAAGAAAAGTAAGAACTTAAAAAAGCTAAGACAATTATTAAAACTAGCAGCCCCTTGTATAATTGTTATATCATTTCATAGGTTTGTTGGAGGGATCCCTTGTAGGTCCAGCAAGACCAACTCCGATTATGGGGAGAAGTCCTTGCTACTGCATCCAAAAATAGGAAACTCCAAAGACCTGCTTATATAAAAATAATATCTAAGAATGCCAAAAGGAAGAAAAATTATTCATCAATCAGAAAAAAAAAATTTTAATTGGGCTGATTAATATCGAAAACTCGTTACATCCTCCATAAACGTTTTCCATTGGATGGAAATCTAGCTGAATGCATCTAATGGTAGCATGCTTGCTACTAGGAGGCTTGATTGGCAGCCAGCCATCTGTCCGATGGAACGTCTAACGGCGATACCAGACGTAAAACTCGAAACATAGATGCTTCACTTGAGTAATGTAGGGTGTAAGAACATTTATTCTCAAATATCGCTCTCCATCTTGAATGCTTAGTTACCGCGCTCTTGCGTTGTTACCTGGGGGGCGTTGGGCAGAAACGCGGCATTCATTGCAGTCCGGTAGCGTATGCCGGTCGCTATCGTGTATAGAAACCAGAAGGCGAACAACGACGCGGAGGTAACCTGACCGCGATTCTTCTGGTACATAATGAAAGTGGCAGCAAAGAACTGCAATCATCATTGCAAGTTAATCAGTACCAAAAAAGTTTAATGTTATTTATATTATTCGTTTCAATTCATCAAATATGCAGTACCATATCTGTCAACAACAACAACAACAACGTCTCAGGGATTAGATTAAGAATTTTTTTAATCTCGGTTAACTCGCAACTAAGACTCCATATAATGAAAAAAAAATAACCCGAAGCAATGAATGGTCTAACTTCAATGCAATAATTTTGTTTAAAGGATCGCATAACCCTATCGGCTGCTATTATTTTCTACGCCAATTTTCACCGTTAATCAGAGAAAACACCCACAATTGTGACGAGCTGGACGATCGGACTCCAGAGCTCTGAGCGAAAATAGGTCAATGGCTGACTGATAACATTCCATAGTTCGCACATTTGTACAAAAGCTAAAATCGTACATATCACCTGTCGAAATAATGAACCACAAACACCATTATTATTCTAATATATATACACGTTTTATTGGGCAAAGCTTAGGCTCAAAATATCTGTACAAATCTCTCTACGATATAACCCTACAAATTATACAAATGTTTTATTTTTACTTTTGTTTCTATCGAATTTTATTTATTTATATTTAATACTAATATTAATATAGAAGATTTCAAGAAAAACATGATCAATTGTATTTACGAGAATTAATTCGGTTTTCGGGCCAAATAAGAATTGACAATATAGCTAGTTAGTGTATGCTGTCACTCGCAATTTTAGTAAAATTGAGCGTTGTCCACGGTAACCGAAGGGTCCTGCCCTGCCCTGCAAAGGCTTCAATGACTGCGAAGACGAACAACGCGGCACAGGGTACCCATATGAGGACTGTGTCTTGAAAACAACGCGTTAACTCCGGGTTTGTCGTATTCCACATGAGTTCCCAGTCCTGTAAATAAAAAATAGAGATGTTTTTTTCATAATTTCCGTTTACTCTTTGCCCCTGATTTTCCCTGTTCGGACTTTGGGACATAGTTGTGCGTTTATGTATTCTTCTCCTACTACTCGTTTATGTACTCTTATTAACTAAGAAAAATCTAACTCCTAATTTGCATTGGTGAAAACAATGTGATAGAATTCACACATGCATAGCGATTTGGTATCTATGAAATTAAACCACATTGTGCAGTGAGGCAAACCAGGTTCTAAAACCGTAACATGTGTTTGTTAAGTAACACATACATGAATGAAAAGAAAGAAAAAGCAATATATTACGAGTATGCTAGCTCTAAGCCAAACTAAGCCACTGCCGTAACTACTTACTAAAATATCCTTAGTGCCCTCGATGTATCCGACGCATCCGAATGCGGTTGTGGTTAGAATACTGCGCTCAAGCACAAAATTCATTGCTTCAGTTTTGACACTTTATATATGTATGATATGTAAAGAAAAGTTAGCCAGCAGAAGCTAAACTCGTTTCAATCGTGTCAACTATTTTCTTATATAATACATCCATGAAAAATCCATGCAATAAATACTCGAATTACCCGTTGGTTAATTAGTTATCATTGCGCATAGTTCAGTTGCGGTTTCTGGATAAGACGAATCCTCAACAAAATGTGTACTACTTTGAGATGTTAGGATCAGTATACGCAAAGGTTTAGGTATCTCCAGTAATTAGCTCAGATCTAGCCTTTGTACAGAAAGAAACTATACAATAAATCCTTTAAGTCTGTGTTTGTTATTAAAGCAGTAGAAGAAAGAAGCATTTTCTACGCAGCGTGACGATGCAGAATTATTTGTGTTTTCATTTAGCCTCTTAGGTCCACAAGTACGATCGTATTTTTGATTGGATCATTCCAGCCCTACGATGTTTATAATGATTTTTCGAACAGCACAGCAATTCCCTATCTCTACTGTGTTTTCACCCTGTCACGTTTATTCACGCTATCACTTAAGGCTGTGTAAAGTTTCTAATTTTCTGGGTCGTGCTCTGACGGTAAGTTTACTCACTAGGAAGGTACGTCTGACTTGTCCTTTGTGCAAACACCTTTTGCTAGACACGCAGAAACAGTGGAACATTATTTTTAATATTGAACTATCGCCTATAATATGGTTTATGTTCGGTACTAACGAGCCGGATCGGTAATTGTAGAGAGGGGGCGTCATGTTGCTCGGTGACACTATCGTAGGCAAAACTGACACTAATCGTGATACTGATGTAAGCAAAACAAATTGCTAAACTGAGACGGCCTTTCAGATTCCTGCTGGTTTAATGTACTGTATCAGAGAACGCGGAAAAAGCCCGCATTACCTCACCGGCGAAAGTTGCAAGTTACTATTGTACCATTAGTGCATTACCTGTTTGTCTCACTAGCGTGTTTCGAAGAGCCATATCATTTAAATCATACAAAAGCCTTAAGCCTTTTATCATATTAGGTGTCAATCCATTGATCTCACATAAGTGAAGAAAAACTATATCAGGAGCAGAAATGAATAAGGGAAGTAATCGATTACCAAATCCTTCAATCATACCAAATATTACTACGAAAATATTACAGTAAAAGCATCTGAAGTAACAATCATCATTAATAAATAAACTCAGTTGACCTGATTCAATACGAATACTAATTCTCAATGCTGTTCCTAAAAATTCAACTCAAGCTCTAAAAATTAATTAAATTGAATCAATATCTTTATAATTACAGAAACGTATTTAATAATTTATATAGGTATTTATATAGGTAAGATTTTAATTAAAAATACTTAAAAGTATTCTTTATTTTCAAAGTTAATAGCTTATCCTACTAAGCGTGAAATACTTAGTTTAACGAATTTTATTTAGGATAAACGTTATTAACGACAAATAAAATAGTATCGTGTGTCAGCGTACCTATCGCAACAAACCAAGCTTCACATTTTGTAAATCATAGAACAAAGTAAAATGTCAGATTCACTTAAACTTCAACACATGCTAGAGAAAACTTGACTTTAATTTGAAAAGAAGATGTACAGCACGAAGCTGAGCACCCAGTTTCATAAACAGACACGAAATAGAACCCCAATATAACTGTTAACACTTACAAATTATTACTTACATCACTGACACCAAATAATTTCCATGGGTGTAAATGGTTAGTTTAGATGCTCGTACGGTTTGTAACTACATAGTAAAAAAGGTAGGGAGAAAGACAGTGGTTCCCATTTGCCAATAAAAAAAGCTGTTCCCAATGACGAATACTATATGAACAACAGAACCGTTGCATCTAAAAAAAAAACTCAAATCATAACTTTCTGAATATCGGTTCAGTTATCCTCACTTTTACCTATTGTAGTATTCGTTAATCTGCTTGTGCTTTGAAACTAATACTGATGAGAGTCGAACACCCTGGTTGCTCTTAGTCGTCCTCTTTGGCTAACGGCCAGACGAAATGCCTCAAATATGACGGTATCGATGGTGTACAACAATGATTTACGCATAGTAAAATTTTGAACTCCTATCATACACAATACAGTATTGATTGAATGTCATTTATACGAAATGCACATGCTTAGTTATTCTATCTAATTATTTAGATAGAGAGGAAACGTTCTATATTCAATCACCTGTTAAGCGTTTACAATATACATATATAGCGCAGAGAGCAAATTTCGTTGCCTAGGTTTACGGTCATTCTCTTTCATTGTGTCCTATTCGTCAGAGATTTTCATATTACAGCCGTTTAGCATTAGACCAAGTGTAGTATGCTACGCATTGTGTGTTTCTGTGTGAGATGAAAAACCTTTATCCCACCGTAGCTGTCAACAAAAGCTCTGACTTGCGATGTATTCGTTTAGACGAGAAGTGCATGTAAATAGGCAGAAGGCTATTTGCCTATAGAGTACAAGACTATTGGTGCTTGGTGTCTAAACGAGGACTAAAGAGTGCGCAAACCCAAGCAAAAATTGTAACTTGTCGAAAAAAAAACAGTCCTGATTTTTTTTAATGCCAACTGTTACCAATTGACACTACACAGTAGATCGTTTCATAGGTAGCAGGATATCTGCAATTGTGATCTCGGTGCGTTTTTACAACATACTGTTGCTATACGTTGTTAAAACCGCGAGCGTTTGAAAAAGGCCACTCAGATGCACGTGTTTTTTGTCATATGAGAGAACGGGTTGCACGATATATATATTATATTATAGAATGAGTTGTATCGTAATTTATATCGGAGGCTGCGGCGTAAGTGCTGTTAGGGCCATATCAGGCATGTTTGAATTATTTGTTACTGTTGCTTTTGGTACCGCAAGAATTATACCACACGGCGTAAACTCCGCAACCGATCAACCTATGCAATTCATCCATTACTATAAATATTTAGTTGAACTCAGCTCTGCGTATAATGAAGAGTCGTTGTTTAAATTTAACAAGCTTAGACAGTAAGTTTTATGTGCTTAAAAAACGCTTGGGTGTGTATCCATTCGGGTAGATTACTTTGTTATTTCATTATTTCATGCAAAGGGCCACTGACAAAAGTGGTCTTTCTAGATCCTCCTCGATAACAGGTTAGAGCAATCGCAAAGTGGTTGGTTGTATGCCATCGTCTTCAGAAAGAGAAGAATATCGTTGAAAACTATTTCAATTATTAAAATACACACAAAAGTCCTGATTCTAGCACGCAGAATAAAAATATAAGTAACAAGCCAAATCGTGAGGAGTTTTCTTAAAAAAATAAACTAGACAATCGTTTAATACCACAACCAGACTTGACCTCGAAAAGCCATCAAAACAAAGATAATTGGTAGTATTCAACTAAAATGAAGCACGGTACGACATAGTGTGAACGACTTACTTCTAATTTTATATAAGTCGAATGTTGTTCAGAAAAACCTTCATTTTCAAAATACTTACTACAGGAAATCTAGTTCGCCACTTACCTAGATTCTTAACAAGCTCTAAATATAAAGACGGTGTTTCGGGCGTATTATATCTCTTACTAGTACTACAGTTATTACATGTATGTCCCACTAATAACCCCTGTTATAACTCATTGCGCTGGATTTAGCGAAAAGATTTGCTCAGGAGAAGTGTCGTTACAAAAATTAGCTGCAATTTGACAAACGAACAGCAATCAAGCGACAAACTTTTTATAACATAATTCGACTGAGTTTTTCCTTCTCCTACGCATACATGCGAAATAGGCCGACTTCTCAACTACATTAGGATATCTTCCTAGCATAAGTCATCGTAGTTGAACAGTTATCGAACGCTATCTATAGATCTAGGATTAAGGGGATACTGACGCTGCAATTCGATGCTAATATTCGAAGAGACACGTGGAACTATAAAATATGACGTTCGGTTGATTAAGGAGCGCTAAAATCAACCATCAAAGCTAACAATAGCAATTGGTAATAGCAAAAAGATTTGAAACCTACGTATTATGAATTATAAAACCTCCTTACTAAAGGGAAGTGGCTTGACATGTAAGGATTCATACGTATATACGTAAGAGTCAAGCCTCCAGCTAATTGAGCTTCATTACACCACAGATTTGGATTATTTTTCGGAAAAATGACGATGCTTTTAGTAACAAATGACACTCCTTCATTCAATCAACACTCAACATTATATAATATCGACTATAAAGGTCGCAGTTTTTCAAAGTATCGAGTTGCGGTATTCAGTTTTGGTAACTCATCTTGTCAAAGTTCAACATAATCCCATCCAACGTAATAGTGATAAGCTAACCTCGTCGAGCTACTGGCAGCGAACAACACTGGAAAATTCGTCTGACGAGTTAACGTTTGACTTTGAAAACTATAAGTGTAATAACGCTATTCTTAAACGATATTTGAATTTTTATTATTTTCATTTTTTATTTTTTTTTTTCTATTTTTTTGATTTATTATTTTATATATTATAATTTATTAGTGATCCATCTATATTTGCTCCCATATTAAATTTTCACTGGATTTTACTATAATACCTTTTTCGTATGCATCAAAGAAGCATGTAAAGAAAATTCAAATATAATGTTGTTATATAGAGTAAACACATCTATAGTTCAGGTATCATTCCAAAACGTAACAACTGAAAAAGTCCTTTATTTTCATGCAGTGTTTGATACGATGGGAATCGGACTAGCGGCTGTCTATCAATTCTTTCTATTAGGTCCCCTTTTCATGGTTATAATTGTATAAATGAAAATAATTGATCTACATTTTCATCACCTATTAACTTCACTGAAATATGCTAGCACAATGACATACATAAATGGACGGATGTACCTCATAGGTAAAAAGGAATATTCAGAATAATGAACCTTGTCTGCTCCTCTTCATTAGGTATTCTGCATCGATAGCTCCCTCAGACGCAATACATCCTACTACACATCCTTTTCTAAATTCTTCTGATCGGTAGTTCAATTAAGCATCATCCAAAAAGCTTTTAGGATTCAATAACGCAATTCTTAAAAGAAGCTAACTAAACTGAAAAACATTTTCGAATTAGAGGAGAAAAACCCACTCGACTTTTTTGATTCAACGGAGAATACTTCGTGCCAATTTTGAAGGAGAATGGTTGATAGGCATTTTAGCCATAAAGCTCTTATACGGGAAGCACATCGTAGGTTGTTCCGCAGCTTTGTGACATCAAAAGAAATCCGAACTAAAACAGCTATCGAAAACACTGATTTTATCGGAAACAGCCTCCTTTTTAGGTCTTTTTTCAGCAAGGAGTAGAGTTTTGCGACCCGGCGAATAAAGTTCCAACCTTAAATAGTCCACGACAGTTGGTAAACAAAAAAACAAGAAAAGGAAACCAGTGGTCAAAAACCATCGTCAATTACGCAACAACCTAATAAGAACAGGTGGCCGACAAAGTACTGATGGTTTTCAAGCCAAAATTAAAGTAAATATATTTTTTCATATTTTAACAGGATTTAGGTCAAGTGCGGGTTTCTTTCATTGCGTTTTTCTAGAGTTCCGCAAATATAAATACGATCGAGTAAGTTCGTTCGCGTCAATTCGTGAGGCACGAAAATATCGAGCTTTTTTTTGTAGCCAGCTTCCTTTTTCGGTGAAAAAAATTGTTTGGTGGTGGCTATTACTTGAGAATGTCATGGCTATTCACGAATCGCCCTCGCTTAATTTTTGCAATGATTTTATCAACTTTTTTTTAAATTAGTCAGCCACTATGGGATGTATGTTTTGCATCGAGATACTTAAAACGAAAACATTAAAATCATCTTTATGTTGCTATTTTTCGATATTGCAACTTAAGTTTAAACAGCATAAGTATCTTGGGCAGCATAGAAATATAACTGCAAATTTACAGCAAATTTCCGCAAACATTTTAAAACTACAAACATTTTAGCACTCCTATTACTATCAAGTATTAGCCTTTACATGATACAATTATTACCAATGATACCAAAATGCCAATGCGACTTATATGACTTTGAAGCCATGTAGACAGAAAGACCGTGAATATTTTTCGCCACCTAATATATTTTGCAGACTATTTTTTTACCTAGCTGTTCGATGACATTCTGATTAGGCTCATAAACTTATGAGCCTAATCAGTAAGAACTTACAAGTAGGTTTTATGTTCGACAAAATGTTTAGGAACAACTACATCACCAAATCCAGCATGTCACACGATAGGGTCTTTGTGTTATGCTTTAGCTTTATCCAAACCCCACACAGATTATTTAAATCGAAATGCGTTAATCTTAAACAAGCAAAATACTTGTCTGTACATTTGCTTATGATAAGACCGAATACGACGTTTTAATTTGTAGGGAAACCGCATTCCACTAAGTTTATGAAAACTAAAAGAAAGTTGCAACTCCGACGAAACGAACTCTTACTTTAGCAATAGATCCCAACTTGTTTTATGGGCTTGTTAATGGGTCCGTTTTATTTACTGTTTCAGCAGGGGTACCTTAGGTGAGTGCAGTTTGTGAATTTGGTCAGCACCTAATAGCTGTCACGTTCATCATTTATAAATTTTGTTATATCTTGTGTTGAGGTGTCGTCACTGCGTTAATTAATATGCAACACTATACGAATCTGCCTAATAATCTACCTAATAATTACGGCCCATCAGTAAAAAGAAGTGTGTGAACGTAGGTGACAAAAAATTTCCTTTGGATGCCCACAACCTTCCTAGTCCGACAACAAAATCTGTCAAACACGCCACTTCAGTCACAGCACTAGTTCACTAGTCGAATGCAAGAATGCCGAATCGATTTAAACTTGTCTAAAACATTTATATTGGCGACAGATAACGATTACATTACAAATGAACTAGCTTTGATAATATACACACGCACAAGCGATTATCGGGACAAATTCTTACTATATGACTAGACTATACTATTCATCAAGTGAATTTTGTTCTTTAACATCGTTAAGCACAGGGTTTATTTAGTTCATGTATTTTGGAATTCATTTTTATCATTGCTCACTACGTTAACACTCACCCATAGGGTATTGTTACCACAGAACTCCATTATCATTGCTTGCCGTGGTTCCTGTTCGTGGGACACCATAGTGCGTAGACTACGTGCGGGGTGAAACTGTTCTTTTTACGTATCTCGGCCCTGTAATCGATATTCAACCGAAACCGTCGCTCTCACAGTCGTCGTGCTAGATTTGATTCAGTTTGGAAGCATCTACACACAAACACTCTAAGCCCTTGTTAAGCTCCCCCAAACGAGCGACAGAAGCGCTCGTCGAGAGCAGCAAGTTTCCTTTGAGCCAGCTTCACTACGAAGGCCATTTGGACCGGCGAACCCTGTCTCAACGACTGCTGTAGTTTATTTTATAGCATATTCGTCGTTCTTTTTACAGTCACAAGGTCGAGATGTTCATCTACTTTTAGATAATTTCGTCGTCGTTGTCAGAGACATAGTCAATTAATTTTTATCAAAAGACAAAATGTTGATCATCACACCAACGTCGTCGTTTATCCGACAGAATACGTTTCGTTACCCATCCTTTTTACGCTAACCCATTTGCCGGCAATGGGCTGCGAGGCACACGACAATTCGTTCTCCTTTACTGCTAGTGTAATTCCTTACGTTAGTGCAACTGCTCTCCTCGTCTGCTATCACTTTGAAAAACACAAACGTTGGAAAGAAAATACTGTAGACTTTTGACGCTCCGCGAGCTTACCACGCTTCTCAGTATCCGAGGACCGCTGTTTGATCATCACCAACAAGACGCTCTGCGTCATCGTCACTCACTTTCAGCTGATTACCACCAAACAACTAACCAAAACATTAGCCCTCTCACCTCTGCAAACAACGCCAGCCGTAGAAGTAACAAAGGAGACGAACCTAGACAGCGCTATCGTTGGATTCGGGGTCCAGGTTCGGAGAATGTAGTGACTTGCAGGCGAGAAATTGGAGGCTGGTCGGCCGACGACGAATGAGTGCTGACAATAAAAAAGACAGAGGGTACTACGGGTCGTTTCCTGATTGAATTGTGGAAAGGGCATTCGAATGTTAGATACAAACGCCGTCGCCACTGCTCCTAACGACACTCATCCACTGTTCTGAAATGCGCATGCTACACTTGCGCCATTTCTGATTGAACAATAATCACCTCATAAATATTATGTTGCTCACGCAAAAACAATATGTAAAACAAAGGTAATTAATAAGTACGGTTTTTCAAGAGTAAATGAGCAGTGTGCTACGAAATCCAAGCGTTTGCCGCTGCCGGCACGTGTTGTGCGGGAGCGGGCTCTAGCGGATATTTACGCGCCAACACCAGTTGGGTCGATCAGCCTGGTTGGAAGCAGGTCTGACGTTCGAAAAGCAACTGCCTGCCGAGTGTGATAACGGTGGAGTGTGGGATTATCTTGTACTGTGCAATTCTGTGACAGAAAACACCGTGACGTTTGCTGCAGTATTCTTAATAGGTGTTAACCATCAATCATCAAAATTGATCGAAACGCTTTACGTAAGTATAGACACAGGTAATAGATCGCGGTACCATTGTTCACTTAGGCTATCAACGAGTTGCTTTGCCGCCAAAACGGATAACGCGCATATAGGATGATGAACTCAAGTCTGTCCTAATGCTTTTATAGTTTTCGTAACGGTTATAATAATAAAGTGTAACATGGCTATAAGCTATACATTACATGATACTTAGAACACGATAGCAAGACGGCTCCATTGTGAAGCGATCAAATACTCGTTAACTTAAGATTCAATATTTTTACGTTGATACGAAGCTCGAGGTAAAATTCAACCAATGAAAAGGGAGCAAAGACGGTTTTGGGAGGCTACTTTGTTTGAAAGATAAGGATAACAAGTTGTTTTTTTGTACTTAAGGAAAACAATTGATATAACAGGCAGGTACACTATTAAATGCAATCCACATCTTTCTGTCCAAAGAAGTAATACTGAATTTAAATATCGGCAAGAGCTCTATGCTTTACCTGATCTTTTTTAAGGCCAGATTTATACGCACATTATTATTTGGAGTATTCAGGTACAATCAGTTCAAAGGTTTAACATAACCTGACATTGAATTTTATAGTCCGTGTGTGTATTTAAAGAAAAATTTGTCACAAAAAATGCGACTGTTTTAGAAAAAGAAGGCGCAAAGGGGACGAGGCGAGTAACAATGCTAAAGCTAAATAGAAATGGATTACCTTTACTCGATTCAAGATACAAAACGAGAAGTAGCTTCGCGAGCAATTTGTTTCCATAGTCTTTGTCTGTATGTACGCTTTGTCTGTAATAATGGTACCGTACACTGTCGCCGCCGAACTTGCAAATTCACTCGAAGTTGAAAATTGTTGACACGAACATGTGATGTGAAAAACCTGTTTGTTGATGTGGAAAGAAGCAAACCAGGTCAGCCAGAAATTATGACAGAAGATAAGGATAGAGGGATCTCAGTTAAACCGAAACTTGATGACCTGTGTAAATCGATGTATGATCAGCCCGCTGCCGAAAGCACTTTATCCATTTTGGCCCACTCAGTCATGCCGAGTCGTTGACATCGTGGCGATAAATTAACTTCTTTCTAGCCATAATATCATGATCAGTTGTAGCACTACTTTTACATAATTATTATTATCATTGTGAAAAATAATTAAGCATTATCTTAGGGTAAACGAAGACAATTAATGTAAAAGTCAAAATTCATATAATAAAAAGGTCTGCTGTCATTACACTGTCTACGTCTCTAAGAGATTAAACCGAACCAAAAATCGTCTACGCACGTGTTCTATACATAACGAACATAAAAACCTTAGGTTTCCAGTATGTACGTATCTGATGGTTTATCCTCAAAGATATATTTATTTAGTTATTTGAGCGGATGGTTTCAGAAAGACAACATATTACCGCGTTGATGACGTGCATTAATGTATTTTATAAGTTATATTGCATATACTAACGGTGTACGTATAGATCGTCAAATTTCTGAAATCACTTTATTCCACTGAATTATGATTTTTTAGAAAAAAAAAACATTATTTAGAAGCAATATACTGTAAGTATATTAGACAAGACATCTAGGCAAAATTAGGAGTTAAAATCAGTGGATTTAGCCATAATTCATTAGTAGTTACGGTTTAGTGGTGGTAAGCATCGATTATAAGAGGAGATAAACTTACAGTCGAACCCACAAAAAGCAATATATACAATAATGTATAGCAAATTAAATCACAGAATCAGGATGAATGCGGTTATCGAAATGTTAGATCCTGGTTTCGGACACTTGAATTTAAAAACACGCTAAGTAAACGAATAATAAAAGTATTTATTTAAAATAAACGGTACAAGCTAATAATAAAGGTAAGCAGATATGTGTGCTTCACTTCATTATCATTCATCATTTTATCATCGAGACATTTTTTAGTCAACACCTGCCGATTCTGGCAACACACTACTGAAGGTCTACAAATAATTTTGCCTACGAGAGTATTTGTTTCTGATTTTAATAATATCCGTCACAAGGAGTAACCAGTCGTGAAAAGTGCTTCTCTTAAATATCAACGCAACAGGGAGCTTAACTCTAAAATTGAAACTGATAATCACGAAGGTGTCGGCAATTGTCCAAAGCATTTATCTTGTAAAAGCATATGCTTTTTACTGTGACATAAGCAAAAAATTTGGCATGAGAATTTCGGCAGCTAAATACTTTTCCTTACATGTGTGAATGACGACATTCACCATTAGAAGGATTCTTTTATGGAAAATAATTTACACTAAAGAAAAGAGCTGCTGAGAATCGCTGCAGGTGGCGTATGATCCTGCCCTATACGCGTATGAGTAAATATCGATAAGCTAATTTTTGCTATTCGTTTTAATATGTTTTCATCGGCTATCTTAATACTTTGCTCTGTTCTTAAGAAGTAATTTTTGACAAAATAATCGTCTGACTTGACACATAAAACTGGTTATTATTATTATTATTTCATGCGATTTAGTTTTTTTTAGATTAAACCTATCCGGTTACATAGACTACGTTCGATTTCTAAAAAAGCCCACTTTGGCTCAACTGGTAAATGCTGCTCTAATGGTTCAAAAAAATTTCAGGCATCGGATTCTACAGCACTACACATCGTTCAAATCATATAGGGACTTTCAAGTTCTTTTCCAGCACTTAAAACTGCTTTCAAACCCGATAATAGGAACAAAGCTTTACCATATTTTTTCCTTTCGTTAAACGTCTCCGAAGCTTTTTTCTCACAGGTGTTTTTTGAGTTTTATATAAGTAAAGGTAAACCACAAATCTGATGAATACGGGGCTAACGAGGCATGAACATCAAGTTTTTCTGTAAAAAATGCGATTCAAATCAGCAAATGCGAATCGATGGTCCGAGATGTTTACGATGAATTTAGATTTTTTGGTCGACAGCGTTACACAGTCTGCTTAAAATATTTTGGTAGTACCTAGACAGAGAAAGCGCTCATCATGGATTTGCAACACACAAGTTCCCGATAGCCAAAAAGGATCTTAAAAAGAAATCTGGCTTTTACTTAGGTCATACTTAGATTATGCAGCTTTTTTAGGTTTGGACTTGCCTTTCCAAAAATGTTTAGGTCATTGTGCCTTTGTGTTCGCGTAGTACTCATACATTTATGTCTCATGTATAATGACGTGTCGAATGAAATCTAGTTTTTCTTAGAAACTCTTATTTCATTCAACTCATTCAGTTCAAATCCTTTGGTACAAACTGCGGGCTTTCTGGCTCTCTGCTGTTACGCCCCTGGCCTCCGAATGATATCTTTAAGAGTAGTCAGAAATGGCTCTTATGAACTACCTAACTCTTCTGCAAGCTCTTTGAGAATGGGCAATCCTACTTCATGGTTTGTTTTGCTCCTCCGGATGTTTGTCCGTATTTGCCGTACCTAGTCGCTAGGAACGAGGGTTGTCCTCAAGATTCTCTAACCTGTTGAATGTCACTTACATCAATGTGCTTACAAAATACAAAGCCCATGAGCGTTCAAATGCTCTGAAATGAAAGCAAACAGACAGAGCATCCAATTTCTTATAAAATTAATAGTAACTGAGAAATCTACTAGATATATCTAGTCTTAAAAGCAACTTATGAGGAAGCTAGATCATTAAGCACGCAAAGACGGCAACAAATTAAATCTAAACAACCAGAATATTTGTCGTTTTGTTTGCACCCCACAAGTGCACTAAAGTTATGTTACTTCTGCGTAGAACATTTTTATAGTATGCTTGTTCTTAAGGCTGAAAAGATTAAGGCTGCGGAAAGATTAAAGTAATGTCATTTGAAAATCTATCAGTTGTATATACAAAACATTTCAAATAAAATAACCATAGCAGAAACATCAGACGAAACTAAAGTTAAGATAGACTTTGTTGTTTTGATTAACACACTGTCTCTTATTTTGCAGTTTATATTGATTTTCTCAGGCCAATCGCAAAACTTAAATTAAAATATAAACCTATTTAGGAAAATGGCATTAGAAGGTGTTACTGAAGTAGTAAAATAGATACGTATTTAAAACATTATAAAGGTTAACCTTTAAGTTCGCTTACTGCTTGATGTTCCAAACTTTTTTTTTAAAACATGGCAAAAAAACAGCAGAAATGTCACTTTTTATATGACTCAGTTACACTGCTACTAATATTCCTTTATAGTTCTAAATGTAGCGAATCTCAGGTATTAAGCAGACTGTCCACAGACGTGCTTTACGCTCTCAAATAGAATGCCTGCGTATATTGTTGATGTTCATTGACCAACAACAATGGTATCTCAAATTAGTACTCGGGCGTTTCATTCACGTGGCTTCTTATTTTGATCATATGAGTATTAATGTGCTGTACCTCTTCTAGGAGAAATGGCGAGTAATATTGACTCGCCAACGGCGTCAAGGCCGTATGGACGGAAAAGGCATCGCCGTACAGGAGTAGATGAAAAAACGCAAGATTCTGAAAATTTGACCGAACACTTCCGTCGTAGTAAGGTAAACATGTAGCATCTTATCGATACATAACGTTTATTTTTAATTTGTTTACAGCAGGTCTCAAATGTTTTCATTTGATCCGTAGCGAAGGTATACGTTCTATTGGCAGAAGCTAGGAGGATTAGCTTGCAGTTAACAAAGTTGGTTAACGATAGTTAAAGGTTTTACTGTAGAATGATTTCTACAGATCGTTTCACAACTGCTCCGACGCGCAAACTAAGCCTTCTATGAAAAACCAATGTAACACATTGAGTGTATTACTATGTTTCCACCACAGCTGTCACAACAGGCAATGGTTATTTCGTACTGAGTTTGTACAGCCTCAATAGTTAACAAATATCTAATCAAGGACGATTTTATGGTGGACTATTTTTTACACTCTATGACATTTTTTTAATATGCTGATCATTAGGTACCTCGAGCAGATGCGTCCTTATATCAACCCAACCAACCGTACCTTCCCGGCGACCATCTCTTCGGTGTCATCGAGAGGATCTCCCTCAAGAATTTCATGTGTCACTCTCACTTGGAGTTCGCCTTTGCACCGCGCGTGAACTTCATAGTGGGCCGAAATGGAAGTAAGTACTGTCAGATAGCAGCACAAATACGTTATGCGTCGTGCACTTTTTATCATTTTTTATCCTATTATTTATTAAAACGAAGGCGAACGGTATTCATCTACTAAAACATGGCTGAATTTGGCTTCAATTCAATTCATATTTTTAATTATTGAAAGGGTATTGTGCACGACAAACTGGCCTTATATTTAGAGACTCAATTGCACTTGCATTGACTCAGAGCTACCTATCCTATAATATAGTTAGCAAATGTACAATTTGAATCAAAGAAAAGCTACCAGAGAGCTAGAATGCTATATGCTGAATTTATCTGTATTATATCTCTGAATTTATTAATACTATTTCGACCTTTATATTTACTAAAACTTGCATGCATATTCACTCACAGGTGGCAAAAGTGCGGTCCTGACTGCGGTTATGGTAGGTTTAGGCGGAAAAACAACTGCAACCAATCGTGGAGCAAAAACCGCTAGCTTTATCCAGAATGGAAAGCCTTCAGCACGCGTGGAGATAACTTTGGCCAACAGAGGAAGTTATGCATATAAGCCTGACGAATTCGGGCCCAGTATTACAGTTTCGCGCATCATTCGAGTAAGTGCACTCGCTTGAAATGCAACTGTTGCTTTTCCGGCTAACTGTATCTCTCATAAAGTACGATTTCGTCGTTTGACGATAAACTATCATTAAGTGATAGTTGATAAGAGTCGTATTACTTGTCGTCACACGGCCGTTCGATATCACTTGTGCCTGAGTCATAAAGTTCGATTGCAAGCTCTATTATTGAGATTTTGTTAGCTAATGTTAACCGCCCAAACAGTACTTTAGTTAATAATAGACACAAGCGAACAAAAATTATATATAATATTCTATTTAATTTTTATCTGCAGCGAACCGGTGCCCAGTACGAAATTCGGTCGCACGATCGACGTCTTGTATCAACAAAACACGAAGACCTCCAAACAATATTACGTCACCTAAATATTCAAGTAGATAACCCCATTGTTGTGTTGAATCAGGAAACGTCTCGAAATTTTCTACAATCGAAAAATGCCAAAGACAAATATCAATTTTTTATGAAAGCCACCCAGCTTGAGGAGATTAAGGAAAATTACCGACAAACTGCTGAAGACTACAAACAGGCCACAAGGAATTTAGAGAGTAAGAGCGAGGTGAGTGTGTTTTCCCTACGTCAGTTCTTCAGGTTATTCAATCGCACACAATTTGTAATTTATAGGCTTAGAGCTAAATACGGCTAACACAACTTCAGGCTTCTTTCGTAGACTATGATGTTCCATCGACGTGTTCAGCCAGTGTTTTTCGTAACAAAAGGCCTGACTAACGCTGCACTGCTTTTGATAAATTCCAGTTTATATACAGGTGTACAACCACGTGAAATTCATTTTATAATATAGCAGTTGATGCCTACATTGAAGCATTGTAGAAGAGCTTTGGGTAGGCAATTTACCTTTCCACTTTTGTTTTTGTTATGTTATTGTGTTCTTTAATGACTTTTCATATTGCATGGAACTAGCTTCTGAATGAGCTGGAAAGTCAGAAAGCTGAATATGAACTACGGTTGAAAATTGTGGCTAATATCGCTAACGAGCGCCTCAAAGTCGAAAAACTAGAGGGTGAACTTCTCTGGTCGGCTGTCGTTAAGCATGAAGCTCTAGTCAAGGAAGCAACCACACAGGTTGAGAAATACGAAGCCCACTTAGTTCAGTTACAAAAACAAATGGATACCGTTGTTAACGATATTGAGTTTGCTGAGAAAGAAGTCGCAGAGAAGACCACGCGGATTGAAGTGAGCCTGGCTGAAAAATCGGAACTGACAAAACAAACTGAGGCTTCAAGAAGAACTGTCAATCAATTAAAGGAAAACTTCCGCAGTATTGAGGTACATAATTGACTTTATCATCATCAGTATATGGGAAGTTGCATCAGATGAAATTATATCTTGGAATTTACGCAGGAATGATTGATGTTATAAACGCTTGATACTCTGTATATATAATCAGGTATTTCGTTCGAAACACCATAATTGTTTTTCAAGGACAAATAAGCGTTTTATTAAGGCCGAGAAGCTTCCAATACTAATGCCTTATAGGAAACGACTTCCAGTATATTATTTGTAAAACGATAATTCGCTGTGATACTCAACACAGGCTATATACAAGTCTATATATAGAAATTTTAAGACTTTATAAGGGAATTTTAGATTAATGTACGTTGTAACGATGTCTTCACAAACTATTTGATAGTTTAGAAATTTTATCGTCCTGACGACGTCTTTCTAGACCGAGCAGAAGAAGCTGAAACGTGAAATCCGTGATTTGCAAGGCGATCGGGTCGCTATTCAGAATCACATGTCTAATCAACAGGAATTAGGCAAGGAATGGCATCAGGAGAAGGCTCGTAGAGAACAGGAAATTGAAATCATATTAGGTAAGCAAGTTATTTGTACCACATGTATACTTTATGAAGTTAACTTCAAGCTAATAAGCTGTCCAGTTAATTTAGGTTAGTAAATTGTATTATTTAAGCACAGTTATATCCTTCTCTGCACCAAAGTGAACGTTGTATTTAAGTAAGCAGTCGAAAAAATTTGAGTTGAAGTATATAAATATAATGTGTGCAGAAGTATTCCGGTGTTAGTACGAATCCGGTTAACGAAACATCCGTTTGGCGCTCATATTACCGCATGTGAAAGTCACGATTATTCTACGAGCAAGCGACAACAGATTGTTGATGATTATATTGCATTCCGTAAAGTTGTAAGACTATATGGGTCAAAATTAGTATCTTCAACAGTAGACTGGTTTTGTCATGGTTTTATCTTAAGATAAAATAAAAAAACTCCGCGAAAGCGAACCCGAAGCTCAAGCAACAGAACAAGCCGCTAGGAAGGAACTGGCCCGTACGGAGGATATGGCTCGTGAACACAGGACGACTTTGTCAGATCTGGAGACTCAAGTACAACGCCTGCGTCATCGCATCTCCATAGCCAGGGCGACTCTGAAAGATGCAGTCAACCGTTTCGGGCCTTCGACAGCTCAGGTTCTCAGAGACATCGTCGACGAGAAGCGCTTTCGTGTACCTCCAAAAGGCCCGATAGGGAATTTTGTTGCTGTAAAGGGTATCTTTCAACACATTTAAAAATAACCAAATCATTGAATATCTTCGGCATTGTTGATGAATGCGTATACATTATCTAAAGAGCTTTAGCTCCGCTTTCTGACGTAATGACGTATTACTAATTTGTGGTAGCACCTATCGACAGAGCATAGAATGCATGCTCTCCAGTTATTTCATGACTGGATGGAATAAGCTTTTTCTTCAAATACAAACCCTTTGCCATCACTGTTCATTCATACGTTTGGTACCCTGCGTTACGTACGCGTTCGCCGGGTATGTTTCACGTAAACATTTGCAGATGATAATTGGGTATACGCCGTCGAACGTCATTGTTCCAGCACATTAACTGGTTGGATGGTCGACAATAATGAAGACAGCAAACTGCTCAAGCAGATCCTCCTAAGACATCGAGTCACTCCAATGACGTTGTACACTCGGCGAATGGGTCGTCCACGGTACAATTGTTCCATGCCAGACTCTCGGAACTCGAGCTCGCGTTGTATGGTCTCAGTGGTCGATATAAAAGACAACGACGTGTTTAATCTTTTAATTGATATTAATCGAATCCACAATGTGCTGCTTTATGACCAGCTCAATGTGGCACTAGCCGACATGAAAAACCAAGTTACTGTTCCAAAAAATTGTACACTCGCGGTGGACGTGGAATACAATCGGGTATTTCCGACTCCAAAATATCGTTATTTCGCAAACGACCGCCCGCTTCAGGTCAAATACCTGAGTCGTACGGCTGATGATATTTTACCTCAGCTCGAAAGAGAACTAGAACCGCTTATAAGACAGGAAGCCATCGCCAAACAAGACCTACAGATTGCACAACGCGCGCAGGCGAATGCCGAGAAAACGGTACGGGAGGCGAAGTCTGTGTTCAGGGATATCACTCGAAGTTTGGCCAAATATGAAGAAGAGGTTCGGCAACTTCGAGATTTCGAGGTGAGCGGCGTACAAAAACATCTAAAGAGTCAAACCTAATAGTAGACAAAACAACGAACTCCTTTGGCGACAATTGTTTAGCATTCTGCAAGTTTAGCGTATATGTGCCTGCTAAACCTGAAGAATGCATCGTCAGAGCAGTTCGCCATACAATAGTTGAACAAATTTCTTCCAGCGAAAAACACACTGCTCATTAACTGCTTATATTTAATTCCTATGCTACTGATAAGTATTTTAACCGTTAACTGGTTTCATGATGTAGTAACATGAATCTAAGGTGTTACCACTAGTAAAAAAAATGATTTGGACTCAACTCACAAAATTATTTGATTTTAAAGTTGCTCAGTCGGGCACATCGTTTAAACATACTTGTGGGCATCTATTAACGACAAAATAGGGGACATAGCTAAAATCAACGTAGTACATCGTCAGAGTAAATAATTTCGGGGCAGTACCTACAATAGCAAAAGTATTTTATGATGAAATAATCTTTAACTACAATATTAAATAATCTTCGAAAAAAAACTCTTTTCGTGAAAATGGCTCGTTACCTTATTAGGTTTTTACAATCAAGTAGTACAACAGTAGATATCTGCTTTTATTTGTTGATACGTTCCCCGTATAGGAGCCTGTTTCTGTCACTAATGCCCCACTGGAGAACGAAATCAAGAGAATTGATAAGGAGATCGCAGCAAAAGAAGCTCAATTCTTCCCGATACAGGAACGTATCAAAGAAGCCATCGATGCAATCAGACCTGCAAACAATACACTCAAAGAGAAGGAACTTATGATCCAAGAAATAAATGACAGGACCCAACGACTCCGCAAGGAGGTCGAACGGCTACAGCAACGAATCAAGGAACACCGTGTTGAGCTGAGAAACTTCAGCAGTAGGTTGGTCGATTACTAAGCTAATTACCCGTTTGTTATTACATACTGTTGAACTGAGTGAATTCCCTCCCTTTCTATGCCGTATTCTATAGTAATACTATTCTCGAATGTGAATTTGCGTCAACTGTATATCATTAGTTTGATTCAAATTAGTACTATTTATTCGATGATAAAGTATAACATCTCTTCGGATTGTTTTTACACAAACAAACTAAAATGTTCTTTATTTGGCGTTAATGGTGAGATAAACAGACAGACAGAGTTTGTACAGGAGTAACCGTCAAGTAGTGTGCGTGAAGTCAACTGTTCTACTATATATCTTACACATACCTTTGCTAACGTCTCTTTGTAGGAAAGGTGGTCTCGAGGATACATTAGAACAGCTGAGAGAAGAACAGGCCGTCAAGCAACGTGAACTTGATGAAGCAGCACAAAAAGCCGTCGAAAAATGTTCGGAACGGATCGACACAAGGCGAAGAGAAGGGGAGTTAAGGATAGAACTTAAAACGCTCAAACAACAAATAGCACACATGGAAAGCGAGTGAGTATATCAAGCCTCAGAAAGAAATGGCATATTCCTACGTTGGAATCGTTGATGGTCTTTATGCCTGTTTTGTTTATGGTTTACTGGGTTTTTATTTAACTTAAAAAGCGTATCCTGACATCGAACAAAACAACAGAATAATTATCATTATAATATCTCCATCGCTAATTAACCATACGAAAATATAGCCGTGTTTTGTGTTTCCCTGTGCCTGTTAATTAGACAACCAGATCCGGTAGAAACAAAGGAGAACTATGACCGATGCGTCGAAAAGTATAACTGCCTCTCAGAAGAGCTAAATCTGATTAATACGTACATGCTCGAGTTATCGCGGCTAACACAGAAGCGGCTAAATCTCTACAAGACCGTACGAGATCTCTACTGTTTCCTCATTAATACGCTATTCAATTCGCTCATGATGTACGAGAAGTTTTATGCGGAACTGCTGTTCAATCACGAAGCGGTCAGTACGTTGATTCATTCTTGTTTCATACTAAGGATCGGTGTTTGTTTGTTTATTTATAAACACTTAGTGTCTAGTTAATAATCAGAAGAGAATACTAGCACTCTTAAATTTCGCCGACGCTGGGACCTCTCTCAATGCGTATTCAGTTTTACCATTGAAGTCATTTTATAAATCTAGTTTTGTGAGGTAGATATGCCTATCACTTTTATCTATTTGATTCCTTGTTGATAAAATGTTTCGTTCTCTAAACAGCAAACCTTGGAAATACACGTTCCTGTACTCGCTGGTAATAATTCCAATGCATCTCGCGACGTTCGAGGCTTATCCGGTGGCGAAAGATCGTACTCGACTGTTTGCTTTATCTGCTCACTGTGGGTAAATACGGCTTCAACACCATTCCGGATGTTGGACGAATTCGACATCTTCATGGACATGAGTAAACGTCGTAAAAGTTTACAAATGCTTCTGCAAGTCTGTCAGCTACAGCCAGGCTGCCAGTTTATCTTCCTCACGCCCTTGGAAATGCCTCAACTCGATGCCCTTAAAGGTAGTAAGTTTAGAAACCTTTAAGCTTGTTTTAAAAGCTGTCCACGTAGGCGTATAGTAAAACCTTATGGGAATTATTGTACCAGATTCATGGGTTTTAATCTAGCCAAATGGGCAGACCTGATATAGCGTTTGTTAGCTTGTACCCACGCAGCCCAGTGTTAACATGTCCGCGTTATTCTGATGCACTATTGCATGCTAACCTTTTTATTTCTATACTTAACTTACAGAAAATATCGTCCGAATCCAGATGATGCCCGAACCAAGAAGAAACAATTTATCAATGGCATCAACTTCGTCTATGGATCAAATGATATAAATGTCCAACAAAAGCGTTAGGCAAGTCTAACGTAAGCAAACAGACACGTGAATTTTGTCTTCAGAAGACAGCCTATTGACTGGAACGTGCTAGCAGCTGCATACTCACAGTGAAGGTCATATTATTTCGGCGTCTCCAAGCTGATTCTTAGGCCAACGTTAATGTAGAAATATAAATATCAAGTAAACATGTCATCAAAAGCAAATATTATTTGTGTAGACACTTATCACTGAACAAAGGAGAAGGAAATTTACCATTAATATAAGATCCGTTGTATATATTAAATATTACATGCATCTATAAACAATGCATGCCATGAAAAATGATGACATAACACTCGTTAAAATGACAATTGTGGAGCGACCCAATAGGTCTGTTGTCATTTCTTAACGTAGTGAACTCCCCGGCATCGTTACATTGTTTTTCATTACAAAAAAGAAAAGTTGCCAGGGTGTTCCTAAGGAAACCTACAGTGTGGTAAACAAGCTCAAATATGAACAGCGGTGTAGAACAGCATAACAGTGTTGTAATAGCAATGCAGTACACACTGACTGAACAAACGACGCGACGATGGCCATAACATTTGATTAATACATGATCAACAAAAGAAATCCAAACCAGGCATGTCATACAGGTAAAACATAATATTCAAAATTTTATCGATTTGCTAAGAATGATACTTGTGATCTGGCCGATCACAAGATCAGATTTTCTTATAAAAGGAGCATTTGTATTATATTACCTTCCAAATTAATCGGTTCGAAGTAAGAAGCAAAAAATGTATGAAATTTGAATTATTTCCCGACTGATTACTTGTTGGAATAGCAGGCAGATTCAATAAGAAGCGTTGCATACTTGCCTACTTGTATACAGGAATAAATGCTAATATAATATCTGGTGTATTTTACAACCGCTCTCTTTATTCATAATGATAGCAATCATGTGATCGTGTAAATTGCCTATATATTATTAGTAATAATATAAATAAACTGTATTAATAATATTTATAATGCCATTAAGTTAGACAAGCTGACATTTAGCTGAGACTGAGACCGCCGCCTGAGTACTCCGCCCTCTGGAAAACAAACATCGAGTGAACTATTGTTATAATTAATGTTATTGTCGCGTTTTTATCTGTAATTAATTGGAATTAACCGTACGAAATATTTTCTTTACTTTTAGAGCCATACATTTATTTTTTGTAGCGATTCGTTAAAATTGAAAGATCGTTTTAGAAAAAAACTCAATGGGAAACTACTTCATTTGTTACGAACTTCCGATCTGCATAGGGTACTATCGTAGTAGGAAATTACTAGAAATTGAAGTGAAGCATCGAGTGACTTTTCTTACCATCGCAGGTTCAACGAAGTCTAACCAGTCAGATGCGTATGTAGGTAATAACCCCATCGATGAACATTTGTATAATGCTAACGCAACCGTGGCCAGGTTGCCAATGACGTACACTAGTTTCTGAAGAATAGCCTGTGTACCCGTTATCATCGCGAACGTGGCATTTACACTGAAATGCGTAATTTGATTTTTCGCTAAGTATGGGAAGCACAGCTATTCAACAATATGATAACTATTACTACACAACGGCCATCATACTTGGAGATGCTATAGCACGACTTAACCATAGATATATGTCGAACAGAAAGACTTTACCATTTCATACATATTACCGCAGCCATAGAGTATAGCCAAACATTAATTTAAATATATTACGAAAGTATGTTGGTGGAAGGAGAGGTTGAAATATTTATCTGAAAAAATTATAAAAATTATTATTTTAATATACATAAGAATTATGTGTTGATAAGTAAAGCTTCAAACCAAATAGCTTAGCGAATTTGCACGTCAAACAGTGACGAATCCTATAGAATACTTGCCTTCTTTTGCAACTTCGTGTACAGAACGCGCGACACCTATTGGCGATAATTATTGATATAGTCTACTTGTCAAAAAAAGGAAACCGGAAACTAACATCTCTGCAGGACCAATTCCACCATATCACTATATTTTACTTAATTCCCGAACGTAATGCGCTCCCCGAGCCCTCAAACAAAATCGTCCTATACTATATTTACTTGCTACTAAAACGACAACAGAATCTGTTCAGAAAACATGTTGCTAAATGTTGCAAAGGGTATCACCTTAAATCAAGCTAGTTGGCAATTCCGCAAGCATCAATATTTTGAGCCACTCAAGCTTATTGCTCTATATTAACATAATGACCTCTCAGTTACCATATAAATATATATAGCCCTGCCTATTCTTTGGCGTGTTGTCCTTAGTGTTGATAACGTAAGAGAATACGGTATATGTCGAAATATGTCCGACTTTTCGAAGACAGAGGGACCAAAATAAAAACGACAACATAACTACGCTATAATAATCAATAACTATGCTAAGTTATAATAATAATTACTATAGATTATAAGATACATAATAAATAAACTAATAAGCACTTACGCAATGAGAGCCTTAATAGGTCTGAGAAATAACATCCCCACCATCATCAACGGGAATATTGAGATCGAGTCGCCTGCCATATACATGATGAACAAATTCATCGGAATCTGTTTCAATGGTCCCAAAGCGATGTCCCACGAGCGCTGCAATTACAGTTAAGTATCACTAGATACTTCCTCTATTAGCACTCGATTTATGGTAAATATATAATTTTCATTAAGGTAGTATTTTTGAGAATCAACGTGACGTTTTTGCGCTAACGGCACCACAAAACATTCAAATGTTGTCGTCTAGAGGTAGGTCGTATCTTGCTGAAAATTACAATGAAGTTTAAAACACGAACTTTGACAATGAGGGTTGATTCGTTGTCTCGAAGGGACTGTGTCGTACTAAACGCCATTGTGGGAAGGAAGCCCGGTGGCAAGGACAGCGGTTCTCCTACCCTTTCGACAGTCTTCCTAAAAAATGGAAAATAAGAAGTATATTTAGTGTGAAATAAGCTATGAAATTTCATTATCTATAAATACGCGCAGCTGAGCACGCCACTGCCACGTATAGTTCTAATATTCGTGCATGGCGAACACATTACATACAAACACACTGGGTTAATGCGAAAAAAATCAAACTTACAAAAGAAAGCTATGTTATCAAAACAAAATCCGTATGAATGGGTTTGTTACATTGCGATGAGAAGCTCTTTGAGTCTATAATCCGGCAAACGGGTATGAATCATAGTCTGAATTTTGCAAACATGTCGCCGACGTTTACCCAAAAGATGCACTTTAGAAAGAACACAACTGGGCGTTGGGTATAAGCTGAAACTTATACTATTGAATTTCAATAGAACTGATCGTTCTGGTGAACATGAATTTACTTCTGTCATAAATGTTTCACATTTGGATCGATTAGAATTTAACTTTTTTTTTTTATTGTTGTTGGTTTACAGTCTAATGAAGCAGCAAACCTAAATTGATTATCACAAACATGCGCTCAAAAAACATCGTTAGTACAAAGGCCGGATTGAATCGAAAAGTCAGAAAAATATGAGTTCTTAACAGCTGCATTTGCAATATATCTAATATATGCTGGTTTGACCTCATACTGCTGCTTCGAATCAAGCAGCTCTCAACGTGTTTCGTGCAATTAAGTAGCACGCACGAAATTCTTTTCGAATTCCCTAACCACGAAGGAATCAAGAAGATCTTCAATATAAAAAAAACTTCCGCTTATAACTATACATACGTTATTAACGGATTCAGCGTACATCGAGCTTTTTTCAGTGAAACTTGTTTTCCTTGAGAACTCATGATTAGTGGGCTGTTGTTGCTGCTGCTGCTACTTTAGACAAACTCACACTTGACGCTTCGGTAAATTCTGTCAACTGATTCAATTAACGTCACCATGCAATAGAAACGCGGACAAAGCAAGGTAACAACAAGTAAACACTATTGCATGGCTGAATCGTTCGGGAAAATTGACAACACAGATTCACGATGAGCTCTATGATTTTTGTTTGGCGCGTGATGACCCAGCGTGCGATTCACCACGTGTTAACCGACGTCAGTCAACAAGAAGCAAATGGCAAGGCTCTAGGCAAACGTCGACTACCCGTTGTGTGAATATATTTACTTTAATCTCGTGGAAAAATTGAAATAGTAGAACCCTGTGAAGACACAATTTGTTTTTTTAAACAAGTTCACATCCGGTTGAAAGAGTAAGGAGTATGAGAAAGAAATGCGTGCACACTGGCTATGCATACCGTAATTAAGCAAATGCATATTTTTGTTGTGCCGTAAACATTCGTACCCTTGTCCCAGCAATTAATATTGGTGATGTCTCTTATAAATTACCTTTATCGTGTAGTATAGATCGTTGCTTTAGAAATGTGATAGTTAGATGAATAAACAAACAAGTCTTTGAAGATAGCAAATAGTTCGTGTATTCCGTGGAAAGTGGCAGACAATGTGATAGAATTCTGCCTGCTCTGAGCATTTTTTCATTTAGAGTACAACACAACATTTCAGTCAAACAAAGCTGTAAGGGGTAAGTACTGCCAACGATGATTATTCTTATATTATTCTGGTATTAAAGGCTGACTCGTTTGATACCACAATGTTTTGATAGTCTGGTATTGAACAACAATGTCGTACAAATCTGTGTGACACGAATTTTAGCGTTCAGGAGCTTACGTTTAACGTAAGAGTCTTGTAAATACTGCCTTGCAATACTAGCTCTGGAGTAGGGGTAAGACTAAAAAAAATATTTTGTAAAATTAACAAATTCAGTACGGTGTTTATTTAATTTTCATTCAACACGACAACAGGCTTTGCCACACGCACCGATATTTCTTTAGTTATGTGTGTATATACAACATGTACCACAAAATGTATAAACTGTCCAATGTAGAACAGATCTTTCTAACTATTCCTTTTTTGAGGGTGTAATAAATTGTTATAAATAATAAATTAATATATATATAAAAATAAAATAAAAAATTAACCACTGTTAGCTTTCGAATCACAAGAATTTAGCTTGAAATACTATTGGAGGTATGAAAATGTAGAAGCACATTGATCGTATCGCAGGGAGTTTCAGATAGATTTACCCATGCGATTCACAATTAATCAGATGAAGCATAAGTCTGAAATGACTGCAATTGTTCAGGATGTTCACAGACGTCAATCCGAAAAATCGAAGAACATACCGAGAGTTTTACCGACAAAAAATACTGGAAGGAACTAGCCGAATGATCCAAAAATCTATTTTATGACTGTAGTAAATCGAATGCCTATCGTATTTTAACAGGATACCAATAGAAAAGTTACGTTCCAACAATGGCAAATGTTACTGAAAATGATTTGGACCGATGAGTAAAACGTTTCTACCGAAAAAGTGTTGGAAAAATATGAGCAGGCTGCGTAGCTTCTTTATGAAAACTGTACAGAGTGGGAAATCTACATCGAAGTAAACGGTGCAGTCGATCGGGATCATTGCACCTACCGCATAACTAACACAATGCGCAGCAATGCTACGTAAATTTATCAGTGTGTTGTGACATTTCAAGCAAAACATCAACTAAACTTTTGTTTTCTTATGGTAGAATGGCTGATGCCAATTACTTAAATGTGTTACAAGAATTTTGGTGGAAATGTCAAACGTTATATTCAACAGAACGTTCTAAAATGGCATCGTAAAACTGAAGAAGACGAAACATACCCTTCAGTATAACTACCTTTGAGCAGTCTTTTCAAACGCGGAACCGTCGCAACAATGGCACAAGTGTCCTAAGCTGCAAGAGACGAGATAGAGCAAATATTAAAAAAATTACTATTTTCCACCAGAAACACGAATTTTCTTAGCTTGAAATCGAGGTTCAAGTTCCATTCACTTCTAACCGGCGTGTAGGGGTGAGAGAATACCCTCAAATGGTATGTAGAAGTTAATAAACAATGCATTCAGTAGGGATGAATAATATTTGAGGACAAAAATTGCCATTACCTATGTTCTAGCCTCATAGTTATTCCACGAAATCGTGTAGTATAAATGAACAACATATTCCGTATTAGTAGAACCAGCTTCTTCAAATCGAGAAGCTAAACTTTCATAAACCGTTGGGATAACGATGGGGCATTCATTCCTGTATCTGGGTCAAGTACTTTGAGAAATATAGGACAGGCATGCTATTGAGAGGTATGCCCGTAGTGTAATGCTGCAAGATATGCCACAAATTAGGTATATTCTTAATTCGAATTAATAAAAACTGCTTTATAGCTAATGTTTACATTAAGTATCCCTAAGCTATAGATGGTAGTTATAATTAAATATTGTCTATGACGTGTATCGGAAAATTTACAATAGGACTTCAGAAGTGAAGACAGTTGTATGGAATTATCTGTCGAGCATCTATAGTTCAAACGGATTTCGAAAACTCTATCAAGCAGTTAGCAAGCATTCATAACTTACAATGCAGAGTATGCCCAATGAAACTGTACAGATGTAATTAAATAAGCTTGAAAAAGATTTATCAATCCACGTAATATTTGATTTGTGGCCGCAAAACAGGCCACGAAGAAGCTGCGAATATTCACCAAGTCATGTTGTCCTCATATTCAGGTGAACTATGAAAGAACACAGTGTGTGACTATTTTTCATAAGGTCTCCAAGAAAAGGCCACACCAACCCGAAATGAAAAAACTACTTGTGAGACTTACAAATTGTTAATGCATATATATATATCAAAAAAAAAAAAAACGAGACTACAATATTTCATTCATAAAGCTTTACATCAATATACCGAGTTTTTACAATGCGGGCTATAAAATAGGGGAATCTTATTTGGGATATAATAAAACTCTACAAAAGAAAGCTGAAATAAGTACGATGAACATATAGTTTCTAAGTAACTGGTTGTTGATTATCACAGCTTTATTATCGGCAACGGTTTCTGGATGGCTATTGACGTACTGTATAGGATAAGAAAATTACCATAATTATATTATAGTGACTCATTTGAGGCTAACCCTTAACCACACCCTACAATCGCTATCTCTACACAGAGACCTCCTCAAATCAAGCAAGCCTTAAGGAGCTGGTACGTTTCTGGTCACTTACGGTCCACGCCGCAAATGGCGCTCGCATCTTTACAGCGACTCTGTTCGATGTTACGATCAAACCCTATGAGTTCACAAGACAATGTTTAGCTGAATGCCATCTAGAAATAACCCACGACAATGTTTTTTTTCAGTCTTGTATACTCAGCCATGCATTTTTCATAGATAGAAAACTCAGGCAAGTGTATAATAGCACGCTCTTTTCTCCGTTGTTCATTTTGAAGCTCGTGTATGCCATTGTCCTAATGTTCACTACAACTGAAGCTGCTTAATCTCATCCTTGTAAACATTCGTCCGTTTTCAGTGTTTGCTGCGACAACAGTGTTTGCTGTTTCCTTAGGACGCCGGCCCTTCTATACTGACCTACGCAGTCGTGTTGATTTTCTTCATCCCTCTCAATCAATTAAGCGGTTCTTACGGAAACCAAACAAGATGGCGAGTTTGATGTAGTAACGCCATATGTACGCAATAACCCTTTTCTGGGAGCCTTTAACGATCCTATAGCCCGTTCGTAAATTTGAGTTAGCTGATGTATTTTGACTAATATTTGTCGATGCATATACAAATATTACGGCATTACCAATAACTGTAATAAGGACGTTGATGTACGATTTTACATTATAGCGATTTTTGAGAAAAAATGTAATCATCTTAAACAAAAAGAAACCTATAGTTTGACCTTTTTTTAGTGTATATCTTCTAGATGTTCTCTTTATTTGATGTATTTTTATTGCCTTTGCTTTCACTCTCGTAGGAGAAGTAAAACGAATTAAGGGAGGAGTTTTTATCATTCAAATGGTTTCGTCTGCGACGCTACGGCCACCGCTCTGGTATAATCTTCGTAAATACAATAGATATTGGCATATTGTCAGAAGTACTTCACGTAGGGGCAATTTTTATTCGACAAAAGACAAAAGTCTGTCTATTGCGGCGGAATATTAATTCAGCAAGATGTCTTCGTTTCCTTCATTACATGAGTTGGTCAATTGATTGATTCCTGTTTTTGCTAGTCGTGGTGACATAACGCTATGCTGCATGTACTATATTGTGAAGCCGGAAGGGCGCTTGCAAGAAGTTCCCTCAGCTTGTCTTTCGACGACAGTTGCTTCGGGCCATCAATGGCGGCCTCTGCTATACGGGCAATCCGTGGCAAATAACGATCCGCCGGTATAGAAGCAATTGGCCGACCGGCTGGTTAATGTTAACAAACTCCAAGAAAGTAGGACCTAACGGCGGTAGAGGCCAGGCAGGGTCGAGGGTGGGGGCCAACCTGACGAAACTATTCGGGCTACAATTCTTCCGCTCTTCACGAGATTTGACGAGGACGTCGATCGACGTCGTGAGTGACAACGACAACAATAACGATAAGGATGATGTCGACAACAACAGCAATCGATTACGAAGAGAAGTAGCGAGAGGGTACCCATACACACGCAAGAGATATGCGGCAGTGGACTCTTCGCCAGTCGCCTCGCAGCTGCCATTGCTGCTTTCATGCTACAAACGCAAGAACGAACAACCAATCAGGCATGCTACTTTATTGCCGGCCTTCTTGGTGTGACCCATTCACTCACGTGCCCACTCGACCGCCAACGAACCGCAAAGCTTACTTTAGCGACCAAATCAGGCCACGCCAACGTGCTACTCTGGACAGTCATCCCGTTTCCCCTCCCCCTTTTCCAATACCACTAACACTACCGGCCCCAGCTCGTCGTTGCGTCACCCCAGAAAAGCCTTCTCTTATAGCTACGAAGCTGGTTGTCGGAGTTTGGGAGCTGGTAAACCGGGGTCGGGCCTTCTGCTGATGCTGGGGAAGACGCGATTCGCGCGACATTGAGTTCTGTGCACTCCTCGCTCGCGGTTCGAAGAACGTTGGTAGACAAACTGAGCGGTGTGGTTGAACGGGGTAGAACTAGGGCACCTACGACAACTACTAGAAGGAGAACAAGATTACCGCTACCCTATGACTAGTACCCTTTCCCCACGACCCCGACGACAACAATTAACGGCAAGAGCAGCAGCCTATCGCGCATGCGCTCAGGACCCAACAAAGCAGCAATCACCTCCTGTCGACAGCGGTACGACGATCAAGCAGCTTATGTTGTGTATTCGGTGTGGCACAGCCTAGGGCAGCAACAGCAGCAGCGTCCTACATCGAAGCCACTGCACGCTCGGCGTCTCACCAAGAAACGAAGAGACAAGCGGTCCCTGTCATTTACCGCTGTCGAGGGGATCAAACAGGAAAAAACAAACAAACTGCTTCTGCTGAACCACACCAGCGTCACCAGTGCTGATGGGGATAGCGGCTCGTTGTTTGCTTCCTTGTCGTCTGTCTGTCTTTTGGCCTGTCGAAAATAAAAGGGAAGAGAACGCCGCCAAGAGAACAAGGGGAATCGAGGGTCTTCCAGCCCTCGCCACCTTCGCGGGCATCACACCCCCTTCCGCCACAGCGGCGGTGGGTCGAGGCCCCTCCATTGCCACCACCACGTCAAACAGAAACAGCAGCAACACCAACCACTTTCAGCACAGGGGGGCAAGCTCTCGCGGTCAGCAGCTGTGTAACCAGAGTAGAATTGACGGAGAGAGCTAGTGCTGGTCACTAGGTGCAAAGGGAAGGGACCAACTCGACCAAACAACGGGGCAAACACAACAGAGCTTGCGAGCTAATCACTGCCCCGATCTATTTTGTTCCGTGTAATTGTTTTCGTAGTAAAACCTACTATTACAACTACTGCTACGATAGGTACTAGCAGGAATCCACCAGGAATTTGGCCGCTAAGCTGAAGGCTATAACTGAGGCGTATTTTGGAATCGAATCATGCTGCGCTGCGGCACGCCAGAACGAAACTCGCGGGCTCTCCCTCTACTGGTTTTGCTTACGTTTCGGTTTGCTATTTCAGCGATTATATCATCAACGATGTTGCAATAATACCATCAAAACTCTGAGGATACTGCTGCGATGGAATCGTCAGTTTCGTATTTGTCGCCTGCGGCCACTCCACGACCTCCGTCGTTGTCGTCATGGAGCGTCATCTACTTCGCCGGCCGTAGTAAGAAGCTAATTGCGACTAATTGATTCGTTCTAATTGCGCTATGTTGAAACTTCCGATTTGCCACCTATTGAAATTGTTCTGTGTGCTGTGCTCATATTGCTGATTTTTGGGCTCATTTTTACCGTTGTTGCCGCGAGAGTGCTTTTCGGTGTGCTACGATTTCGATTTTTCACATAAGACGAGCACCTTGTCGTACTACTGATAATGGCTACAGTATGAAAGTGAAGTAGTTTTCCCGTCTTGAGGAGACCATAAGTCGACGTCGGAAAGAAAAAATGGCCGAGCGACAAAAAATACGGTATTTGTATCATTATAAAGTGCGATAAGAACGAATCGTAATCAAATATACTCCCTCCGAAAAGTTTATCGCTTGCGGAAGAGCGGCATGCAACCGGTGCAATAATGTACGTTCTTTCTTCAGAAAATGGCCTTTGGGTTCAACCGGGAACAACGCAGGTCAAATGAAAACGGAACTAGTCATTGTTACTTAGTCATCATGTCAGTATCCAATCAAATGATCTGCAAGTGTTTTCTCATTATTCAACACTAGCATCAACAAGATTTGTCTGTTTATGCAGGATTGTGTTCTCCTTCCTACCCTGCACCCACAGCAGTGCCTTTTGGTGCTTCTTTCAGTTGTGCCTCGACCCATTTCGTCGCCGCTGATGTATGTTGCTGTGGGTGCGTCGTGAGTCAAAAGAAGTCGGTAGAAAACGCTAATACTAGTGCTGATGACTGGGTGTCTGTATGTGTATGCCTGTGAGTGCGTGTGCATGTGTATGTTTGTGTGCGCGCGCGGAGTCTAGGAAGTCCAGCGAGCAGAATTAGTGAGTCAGTCATAGCAAAATGCTGTTCTGGGTTTGGCCGATGTGTGGTGCGTGAGGTGCTCCTGAGTCAGCGTTCACGATCACCCAGGGCATTCGCCTAATCGGAGTCTGTCATCCTGTCGTAGATCGGGAGCAGCCGAGCGAAAAAAAGAGAAAAAAACAGCCTGCCAAAAAAGAAGAGAGGACGCGACCAAGAACTAAGGTAGGTTGTCTGGAGGTCTGGTGGGTAAGGTGGGCAGGCCAATAAGCCAGTCAGGAAGCTGGCTAGGAAAGCATGTTCTCGGGTTGATACTTTGATGGCTAGGTAAGTCAAGACTGGAGCGTGGTTCTGACCACAGTAAAGGTTAAGGACGTGTCCTAGATAACTGAATAGCTTCTTCACCTCAAGCAAGCCGATTGGTCACTGAGAAAGGCAAACGAAAAAAACGAGGAAAGATCCTTACGATATATGCATGCTTACGAGTAAATATTGCTGAAGTAGTATCGTGACCGATATAACCTGCAGTTCGGTGTACGTGTTATATTTAAGCGAAGTAAATAATATTTTGTCGTGTGTGTTCATTTAATTCATCCCGTTTACTAGTTCATGATGCATTCGGGGAAAACATGGCATTGAAAGGGATGGCCAAGATGCAACCCATAGGTGATTATCGGAAAACACAGCAAAACATATTTTTGATACACTGGGGTTTATTCAATTAACCGTCAACGATTGCTTCTCTCAGACTCTTCGTTTGTTGTTTCAAGTAGGAGACAACGTTGTTCTGACCGTTAAGCAATGCATCATTCATATGTAATTTTTTTTCAAGTCTATGAACAATTACTGACAATTACCTGTTACTTCTATGAATCATTCTATCGGGCATTAATAGCGTTATTAAGAATAATTGTACTCATTTTCCGAACCATCGGTCCTATTTTCGCTATTATATGATCGTATCTATTTTATGATTAACATCAGTTCACTCGACATGGCCTGCGGCGGTGTAGAGTTCTACCTCATGCATATTATTCTAAGACGTGTTTGAATAAAGTAGCTTCATAATGCTGATGTAACTGCGAGCGTTTGGAAAGCTAACTAACCACCTGCCAAGATTTCGTTTCAGCTTCAACAGGTTTACACTAAGAACAGCCAAGGCCGCTGCCTAAACTTTATTTTTCACGGTCTTATTTTTTCTGTAGAAGAAACTTCATGCAAAACAACCATCTTTTAAATGTGAACTGGCTCATTTGAGCGTGTTGCTTCTCCTGTTGGCAGTGAGGCACAGCCTAAAATTTGATAGGACATGGTAAAAGCGACGAGTGGGAGACCCGACGCCAACTGCTAACGCCTCCCCTGAAGTAAAATGCACTTCATTCGAAGCAGCTAAGCCACCACCTTCGTCTAACCCTTATCCCTGAGCCGTATAGAGGCAAGTGATTCAAAATTAATGATGTCCTTCTCACGAGTCGACTCTTAATTCTATCGATACAGAAACCCGGTAGAACGGTGCTTAGGTGTCAGGCCTTTGACTCAATGGTACAACAGAGGCCGCGATTACGGCGCAGTGATACAACGAGACATCTCGCAGTCCCTCGAAGCCTGTTTCCGTGGGTGTAAGGCTAGTACGGGAACCGTGCCATTACTTGGCAAAAAATCGACACTGTGTATTATGAAGCAAGTGAAAATAAATAATCGGATATTTATACTCTGCTTTTTGATCAGCAAGGGAACAGATCACAGCCGTACAAGTATACAGCAAAGAGGGCGTTGTAACACTTGACAACAATAACAAAATAGATGGCTATTAGATACGGACTATGTTAATAACTGCGACACCTTTTTATGATACTTGTGGATTCTAAATATCTCTCAGTGGTTCAGCATAGACTTGCAAAGTTTAAGTTGGCCTAGGAAGTTCGTGAAGCAAACCTTTGCGACGCAAGGATGCGCATAACACTATCCTTCTTATTTCAAACGCCAGTAAAGAGGGCGCATTAGACAAGACGAACGACAGATAAACAGATAATTATTTATTATACCCTTTGCTATACCCATTTTTTTAATTGTAGTACATTTTAAGATTACCGACCACTCTGTGAAATTATTAAATCTGCTGTATATTCCTAACGAGCTCCGGCATCCAGTTAAACGTAACACGATCGGACTTTCTATGCGGTATCTGTACATTCATCATCTCAGGCAAACAAAATAAACCCAATTTCGGACAAGAGCATTAACAGCCAATTTCAAGATCCATTGAGATGTGTCCATGAAAACTTTCTCTAGCCCATAAATACTATAATCTTCAGGAAGTGGAAGTGAAAGTTTGAGGAACACTCCGGAGAATACCTCCTATAAATACGGGTTACTTGTACTTTCAATTTATTTAAGGAATGTGCTCGTGGTCCCCTCGAGAAAAGATACTTGATAAATATTTCATTTCATTACTCATTTAACCCCTCTATTTCCAAGGTAAACCTGAATGTTTATTCCGTCACGAAAATCTATTTTGTCAGGGCGCTTTTATATTTGCCAAGCAATACGTTTTTCATATCACAAATGGGCTTTCATGCATTTTGCCAAAAGTTCACCTACTTTCTGTAATAAATAGGCCCATACCTTCATAGAATCTCCCACGTGACGACTTAGTCTAGCAGAAGAAACCGCTAAATGTACTTTAAATAAAACGCAACGAGGCCAGTGAATTTACGTAGTTGAATCAAATAGCCCCCTCGGGTTGACGCTAACTCCGAAACGAGAAGTTGTGCATATGGCCTCTCACAACATGAACGAACCTCTGTCGGCTTCTTTCAGTTGATACGGTATTCAGTAAAATGCTTGAGGCGGGAACTGACTTCTATATAGAAGGAGAAGAAAGCAGGGCTGTAACAGGGCTGTTTTACTAACCCTATAAGGAAAGTGGGGATTATATAGGTGCGATGTTGGGGTCTTGAAAGGAGACCAGAGCCCACTTATGGCAAAGGCGGACGGAGTCATAAGGTAGGGGATCAGAAGTTTAAGCCAGATAGCAAAGTGGAGAAGAGAGCAGAATAGGAAAGCGTCTGCTGTTGTATGTCTCGACATAAAAACCAAGAAAAAGCAAATAAGGCTGCCTGGCCTTCTGTTTTCTAAGAAAAGCGGTGTTCTAAGCGACAACGGAACACAATGCCGCCAACAGAAGTGGTAGAGGCTAAAATGAAGAAGTAAGAAGTCAGAGCAGTGACCCTCGTAGAAACCATCATGAAATAGAAACACCGATAGCATGAAAGTCCGCTAATTTAGAAACGTCAGCAGCAGTAGCAACTTCTATGCACACGCACAACTGTCCGACAACAATTAATAGCCCGCGATTCGCTGGGCTCGTGGCGGTTGTCGGGGCTAGCCGTTGTTAACACGAACGAAGACTGAACTGGGTTCAACTTAAATTTAAAATTAACGTCGCTTACGTAGAAGGAGATGTACACGTTACAATTTGTGATATTTACGTGAACACATAGTTAGCTATGCTTACATAATGACAAACACGGAAGGCCACAGATTTGCGTAGTCACCTATAAATGCTGTTGATGAGTTTAGTTCTCGAGCTGGTCGCACAGCTCCGACGGTGGTCATCTTGAAGAACTAGTACTAGGCAAAAAAACGAAGGAACAAGCGCTTAACGACTTCGTTGACCAATATGGCTGTAGATCTAAGGTATAATGTTGCATTCAGTTTGATAATCGCCAACTGCTTGTTAAAAGTTATATGCAAACAGGTACCATTGAAAAAAACTATAATCTTTATTAACCGTTAGCGTATTGAGACAGACGCACTTCGATATAATAATAAGTTATGGTTCGGTTAACTACTAATTTAAGCTGACCGACAAATTCTCTTACACTTTAATGAGGTCGTGATGTTATGCTTGCGGACTCGACAGTTTCGGTCTCATAATGATTTCTTCCGATTGCATGTATTTTAGAAATGCACCTCTAACGATAAACGACGGGATAAGAGGAGGTAGCCTAGGGGCTAAAGCTAACCCTATCTGTCTAGAGAGGCAGATAACCTTGAGGCATCAAGTTCTTTTGAAATCCAATAAGGTCGTATTGAGAACGCCAAAATCTAGCTCTCCTCAGCGTAGCAAAGCGCGTGTTTCCCTGTCGGTACGTTAATTGTTTTTTTTTCATTTTAGTAATCAGTTAATAATTAATTAACCTTAATGTGCAAACTATCACACGGCAGCTAGCAAGTCAATCTTACTGCCATCGATATCGAGAACTTCGTTGATCTTTAACGTCTTCGACGCCTTCACGGTCAGACATCAACGCGCCATCTTAAGCCTGCGTTCACCTGTCAACCTGTGTAACCATGCCATGTTAATAGTGGGTACCGATGAAGATTGAAACACATTGATTGTATTGAAATAAACTATACGGCTAAACCAAAAGGTTGTCTCTAACCTAAAACCCAGAAGCTCTCAGACCACTATGTTTCTTGGTGTGCCAGCCTAAGCCTAAAGTCGCTAATCGAGTGTCTTTAGGCAAGCACATTACTTACGAAGCAATCACGCGAATCATTAAAGTAACACCGATCTCTAGTTTAAGTCACACCTCAGTGTTTATCTGTCAGTTTTTATAGTTGAATAATAAAAAATTAATCGGACTTTTGCTGCCCTCCAAAAATATAACGGTAGAGATTGCTTTAACTGAAAGGACCGTATTTAACTTCTACGCTTGGCAAGTGCAGTCAGTACTGCATACATGTAACCTAGGAACAGAAGAGAAGTATACATATCTAAATATATATGAAAAAAAAAAAAATTCCTTCTTTGAGCTTCACTAAACTAATCATTACTGAAAAAATAGATTTTCTTTGTCGGTTCACTGTTTCAGTTAGTTATAGCTGGCGTAAGCATTATTGACGTCGAAGCCCATTATTAGGCCAAGAAGATCCATATTTTTAATAATGAGTAGTTCAGCAAATCTAATGAGAGCAAATTTGATCCCTAATATCGGTGCGAGCCGATAGCTCTGGGTCAAACAATTCATTTTCTTGCTCTCAGTCATGGGAGAATCGAACGCGTCGTGTTTACTGAGGCAGATTCGGGTTCCGTATTAATTTCAGTCTTAAAAAGCTAACCGGTTCAAGGGATGTTTACATACTCGCGCACAATAACCTCGTAACTATTTTATTTGAAAATATATTTTAAATTATTAGATTTCCCTTTATAGAAGATG